TTGTTTGTTATTTGTATGTCAAAACAGCTAAACATTGCAACATTTGCTCAGTTTAACGAAACAGCTGCTGAAGGTAGTTAGATAGTTGTTTAAACATGTGGAAGATCCAAATACGTGACTTGTACAATGTAAATATGTTTTTCACATAACAATTATTACCTCCCCTTGCCGCCATTTTAAGGGTCATTCCCAATATATATTATATGCCTAAGATAAGATAAAAAATCTCTCGTAATTCTATCTCCTTCATGAAAATCGATCAAAAAATCTTTCACATATCAAATGGACCTATAATATTATTATTTTCCTTCATATGTAAAACAGAATTTGATGATTCACCTAAGTTAGCTGTTTATATTATTGAATTTTTTTTTTCTTTTCATATTTTGTCACTATATCGATAATTGACCCCCAAAATGGCTGCCACTCTTGGCAAGGGAGGTAAATATTGTAAAAATCAGAAACTATATAAATATTTTATGGCCCGTCTCTTCTACTACTGCTGGGACATATATTTATATCTTTAATTGCATTTTTTACTTAAAAAAAAAACAAAACAAAAAACAACAACTTTTCACATGTGGTGGTGGGGTGGGGTTCTTCATAAATGATGTTAAATACAATAGTATGCCTACATGTACCTGTAGTAACCATCAAAGGTTGTTTTAAAGAGTGTCAGGTTTTTGTTATCCAGTTCAATTGAAGTTTATTTAATTGTTTAATTATGAAAATTCAAAACAATATTAAACTTCAATCGGGAAAAAAAAAAAATTGGAAAGAAATTTTGTTAACACCAGTGATGATGTTAAAGGGGGAATTACAGAGTGGTACTTTAAATGATCATTAAAAAGTTTCAGTAATCTGGAAACTGATACCTGTATTGTTACAGATAATGTAAAAAAAACTTTGTCACTGGTGTTCAATATTTATTTTAAAAAAGATAATGACAGTCTAGACAAAAAATTGCTACCAGTGGTTGAATTTAAAATTGCTGCTATGAATTGACCAATCATCACTAAGTAAGACCATCATCAGCCAATCAGATGACATGGTTTTAGACTGGACCATAATTTCAAAAATTTTGGTTGGACTTCACTAAAAAAAAATCTTGAATGATAGTATGGGAAATATTTTTGGGAAATTTTCTTGCATTGGTAGTAGGGAAATATTTTGGGAAATTTTCTTGCAATGGTAGTTGGGAAATATTTTTTGGTTGTTTGGAAATTTTTCTTGCAATGTTAGTCGAGAAATAGTTTTGGGAAACTTTCTTAAAATGGTAGTTTGGAAATATTTTTTTGGGGAAAAAAAATATTAAAATGGTATTTGGGAAATATTTTTGGGAATTTTTTTATGTTACATGTAGTAAGGGAAATAGCTCTTGGGATAATTTCAATTTCTTTTTGTTTGGGTTCATACATTTTCATTTGCTCATACATTTTCCATTTTCGCTCACAAAGAAATTTCAAAAATATATGTAATAAAAAAAAAGTCACCTCATTATTTATTCATATTTCAATCTGGAGGCAGGAGTAGATTAAGGTTGTATATTCATGCTTTATTTTAGGGGTTTACACGGATGACTGGGTTGTAATTGACTGTTGTATGAATCATGTCACAATTAATAACTTGTTTTTATTATCATCTCCTAGAAATACAAAGCCGGAAAGTATAATGGATAAATTTCTGTATGCATGACAGGTTTCTTTATTTAGAGCGTAATAGGAGGTCACTTTCCAAGGTCCAAAGCTCTATAGAGAATTTTGACAGATTTATGGCCCTTTTTAAATTTTAGAAAATTCTACATTATTCAGGCTGTTGTTTTACTATCAAGCACTGAGAATAGTCATGCAAGCTGTCCTACCAACAACTCTTGTTGTAACACAAAGTACAATCATACTATGTTTAGTAGTATGCTGAATTTGTAATTACACAAAATATGAGCAAAATATGTCCTTACATATTATGACCATAGATCAATTATTACATATTCTAGTGCCTTGTTATTTTTCATGCCTGCTAGCAAATTAATGCAATCCTATCATCCTACTTTGTTCTGTTAGCTCCTAGGAAGATATTTATTTTTTACTGTGTATCATGTTTAAAGTTTCAAATACATAATTGATTAATTTAGTGAGACAGGAGAAAAAAATAGGATTTGAAAAGCAACTTCTTTGACAGGTGATGGTTCTTGATGATTTTGCTATTTTGTAGTCAGACTCAATTGCCAGGCATAGTTATAACCATTCAATTGTAAGAAATAGCCAAAGACCTCTGTCAAACATATAATTGGTTTGGTGAATGAAATGTTTAAGAGATGTCTTGATGATGTCTAAATGAGATTATTTGACCATATTTAAAAAAAGGTTTTGAGTTAAATAAAAAAAAATATAGTGCTTTTGATTTGATTGTTTAGAGGTGGTTTGTGCCATAAATTAAAGTGGTAATTACTGTGTCAAAATTAGGAGACTTGATTATGTTGAATATTGACAGTTTTTATGATATTGTTAATTGGGAGGTTTTTCATAATCATGATTTGAGAGGTTTTGTTTTATAAAAATATGAAATATTTTGATGATATCATGAATTGAGAGGTTTTGATTCAAATAAAATAATAAGGTTATATTTTTTTTAAAAATGAGAAGCTTTTATCATATCATGGATTGAAAGGTTTTGATTATATTATTAATTGAGAGGTTTTGATTATTTTAAAAATTGAGAGGTTTTTATGAAATCATATATTTAGGGGTTTTGAGTATATTGTTTATTGAAAGGTTTTGATTAGTAAAACCAGGAACATTTTTGTAATGTCAGATTTTATAATAAAGACAGATGGACAAAAGAAAAATGAGTAAATGTATTATCATGGTGTAAATCCCAGGAAGTGATAACAAGAAGTTTACCAATCTCTGATCAGTATTGTAGAATGTTTTACCTGATAAAAAAAAATAAAAAATGCACTGTACATGTTCATGTTATTGTAATTTTAGCATTGCAGAAGGTATTTTTGTGGTATTGTATAATTATGTAGACACTATTTTTGTACACTAAATTAATTGACTATGACTATTTATACTACATTTAAAGTATTCATTGTATAAATTAAACAGCGTGTGATGCTAGCTTATTGGGGAGAGGGGGATACATGTGAAGAAGTTGAATGTATATTATTTTTTTGTTAAAATGATATGTTTAAGGTTTTGTCAAGGTTTTTTTTTCTCTCTCAAAGAAAAGGCTGGGGTTTTTTTTGTTACATAATCAATGTGAGAAAAAAAATTGACGTATAATTCTATTTTTTTTCTTGGTTTCCTAAAGCAGATCATTGTTGTGGTTTAAATGTGATGATTGGCCGATTTAGAAAAAAATGGAAAATTTCATTGTGTTGGAAATATGAATAGAGATAAATATATTTAATGCAAATCATGTTATAAATATATCAAATAAACTATATGAAATTAATCAAGATTTGATGATATTTTATTTTATATGACCATGAATACTTGTCTGTCTCACTACTGTGGGTTCATATCCAGACAGAGATTTTGGATTCTTTCATGTGAGGAAGCTATGCAACTTACAGAATGTTGATGGTTCTACTCAGGTGTCCATGGGTGACAGAAATAATGCAATAAAGGGCACTTGGGGTCTTCTTTTGCCAGTAAAGTTGGAAAGTCACCATATGGCCTGTATTGTGTTGGTGCAACTTAAAAACCCAAAATAAACAAAAACAAACAATACTTGTGTGCAGGCCTTATTGTGTTTTGCTGCCTTCTACAATAGCTGATCCCACTATTTCTGTCTACCTGCATGGCTGTAAAGTGGCATCATTGGATTTGTAATCCATGGGTTGCTGGATTGATCCTCAGACAAGGCAAAATTTCTCCGTGACAACAGTTGATCACGAACTTTAAGTCTAATGGTCATTAATTTTGTCTCACTTGATTGATTTACAATTCAAAATGTGTAGGATAAGAAGTCAGTCACTTGCAGAGAAATATGTAATTACTGGTTAGTAAACCAGGAAAGCTGGTTAAGTGGACTGACCACAAAGATGTGACCAAGAACTATAAAAAAAAGAATCTGTGTAAATGTAACGAAGCAAACAGACCCAATGTTAAACATTACCTCAACATTTTTGCTCCCTCAACATTTTCCAACAGAGACAACTATAGTTGATGATTTACACTGACAATGGTGTTTGTTATTTGTTGACCTGTACCAATGTGTGTTGAATTCAGCCAGGGATTTTGGATCCTTTCATGTGAGGAAGCTATCAGGCTAATTTACTGAACATCAGTGGTTCCCCATATCCCCTCTCCCCCCCCCCCCCAAAAAAAAAAAAAAATATGTAGACAATTATAATGGCTATTTGGTATGCAAAGACCTTGTTTGGAACTTGACCCTCAGGTGGCATTTGAGGTCATTAACAGTGGGTTAATGTCACTATGGTTGAAAATAGAACTTTAGCTTGTCAATTCAAAACATTCTACTCCCTTTGATGTCTTTGTAACATTTTGGTGAATACATGATGCATTCACTAAAAACTTGCCTGATTAATCTAAAAAATGCTCTTGCCTAAAGTCCTCAGATTTGGTGTAGAAATTGGTCATGACCTTTAGATGACCCATATGTATTTTGAGGTCAGAAGGTCTAATATTACTAGATTTTTACACTAAGACTTATCCAATCAATAATCAAAAAATGCTTTGGCCTACAGCATATTTGGTAATGGGGTTGTTAATGGCAAGTAGATGACCCCTTTCATTTTTTAGGTCAGTAGGTCAAAAGTCAAGGTCACTATGACCTACAACCCAGAAGCTGGCCATCAATTTTCAGATTTGGTACAGTGGTTAAGGAAAATTACACATTGAGGTGATAGGATGACATACGTATTTTACAATCATCTCTTGTTTTGTTATGTTTCACTGTCAGTATGTTGCATTATCAGTTATCAGTTTCTTATCAAGTTTTATTCAACTCAAGGTCAGTGTTTCAAGTTACTGATACTATCCTACTAAGTAGGGTATGAGATATTATAAAAAAAAATCATCACTCTGAGCCTTGCAGTCAATATGGAAGTTACTTACACCAATGGAGACCAGTTAACAATAACTGATGAAATGAAAGATGCATTTAATAAAGATGGGTATCTGATTGTAAGGTAAGCCATGTCAAGGTAATATTGGTTTTATAAAATACTACTAAAAATTTGATTGGCATCACTTATTCGATTGTACGTACGTTTATAGGTAAACAACAATTAATTGGTTAGAAGTGATATTTTGATATTAAAGTGTGGTAATTTGTTATTTTTGTTATGTTCTTATTAATCACTGAAGCGTGACAGCAGTGTTATCTGGACAAGGGTGGCTTTTTAGGTTTTTGTGCATGGGTGCAATTGGGTGATGAAAGTGGAATTAATTTGAAAGGACCAAAAAGTGTAAAGATGATGTCATTATCAAGTGTGGTGTCCATTTGCGTTGATTACGGCCTGACACCATCTCCTCATGTTACTGATAAGCCTGCATATGGTGTCTTGTGGGATTCAAACCACCATTGCATAACATCAGAATTTTTTTTTTCAAGCATAATTATTTACCCACTCCTCTAAGAGGGTCTGTCTAAGTTCCTAGATGGTGGTTGGCTTAACAGGGCGAGCAAGTCCAGGTAAAGAGACGGTTCTACTTGAGTGCTTGTTATGCATGGCATTGTAGGGCACCTGAGGTATTCTTTCATATGAATTTATGGACAGTCTTCATATGAAATTGTGTCATTGCCAATCAAGTTTCGTTTTCCATTTCAGAAAGTTATTTTGCAATGAGGAACTTCAAAAAATGAAGAAAAATTACGAGGATGGGGAGGACTATCATAAAAACAAGTTTATGGTAAGTTGTTTAAATATTACATACAGCTGTAAATAATAATAGTACATATTATTTTCAGCTAAACTTGTTTAATTAAATGGGGAACTATCCTAAACTTGCCACAGTTATTAGCTCTTGCATAGCATCAGGTTATTGTTTTGCATGATAACATGATTAAACATATTCACTTGAAACTGCATCCATGTTTTCAGGTCACCTACCAAGACACGTAACTCTAGCATGTTTTCAACTTGTAAGACACATAACTCTAGCATGTTACACATAACTCTAGCATGATTCCAACTTACCAAGACTCATAACTCTAGCATGATTCCAACTTACCAAGACTCATAACACTAGCATGATTCCAACTTACCAAGACTCATAACTCTAGCATGATTCCAACTTACCAAGACTCATAACTCTAGCATGATTCCAACTTACCAAGACTCATAACTCTAGCATGATTCCAACTTACCAAGACTCATAACTCTAGCATGATTCCAACTTACCAAGACTCATAACTCTAGCATGATTCAAACTTACCAAGACTCATAACTCTAGCATGATTCCAACTTACCAAGATTCATAAATCTAGCATGATTCCAACTTACCAAGACTCATAACTCTAGCATGATTCCAACTTACCAAGACTCATAACTCTAGCATGGATTTTTGCTGAACTATTACCCACTGTAAACTTTATGAAAAAAAACTATATTTATGATTTTACTTGCACTATATACATTTAGCACTGAGAACATCGGACATGGTGTACATTCAAAACCTCTTATCATCTGTATTTGTTCATTTTGCAGGTAAAAGACAAAGAAGGTAATGAGAGTGCCCAGATTACCTGGAATTTTCCAGGAAATGATATATTTGGTATGGCAGCTAGGTGTGAAAAACTCGCCGGCACATGTCAACAGGTGAAAACAGTACCAAATTATTCTCTCTTGACTTAATATTTATTACATTGGTTCAAATACGTGTACAATATATATAATTCCCTCATTGCCACTTTTCTTGGTTCAAATACACTATGCATGTACAATGTATATGTATCCGAAAGTGAATAATAAATTTTATAATGTATGTTTTGCATCATAAAAAGTTATCATTGTTATGGTATCAAGAAAGATAACTTATTTAGAAACATTTCAGACTTGTAATTTAATTGTTAGGATGTAGTTGTTACACAAAATGCTAAAATGGTATAAAGTCATTTCCAATCAAGAAGTTTTTGAAGCCTTGATTCAAAGCATAAGTTGAAAGGCAATTGTACATACGAGGGTTGATCAATAAATTCGTGGACACACTCCATAAATTGTTTTTTTGGGGAAGGAAAGTTAATATAATTATATTTGACATTTATTCAATTATTTATCAATTTGATGTGTAAGTTTCAGATAAATAATCCATATATTTTATCCGAAATGACAGTTTTCAGAAATAATTAAAGCTGATCGCCGCAGCTCAAATTCGCACTTACGTTACGTCGTGACGTCTGCGTAACATCTTCTCACCCAACTTCTACACATCGTTCATGCTGTGTACCCACCGACTGAAAATGTTTCTTATGCAATGAAAGTATCAATTAATGGCAAACAGACAATGCCTTTATGGACTGTAAATCATGGAACCCCGGTTTTTAAACTTTGTGTTCCTTTAACTCTGCCTTCAATTTCACTCGCATAACGTTCGCATCGCAACAAGTTTCAATAGGTCTGCCACATCTCTTATCATCCTGAAGTTCTTCTCTACCCACACAGAAGTGTATGTGTCACTTATAAACTAACGAATAAGACACTTTTTTGTTCCAGATAAAGATAGTTTGCTTTGGGGTCATACCAAGATTTACACAGAACTTAATTACTGTTCTCTGCTCCAACAACGTCGTACTCCTCTCTGGTGGCACACCCCTGTCTCCATTAACATCTCCAACAAACATAAGAAATAGTAGCGACGCTTGTTTTTTTAAATGTTCTATAAACGATATGAAAGAACGTTGCCGTCATTTCCATATTTTAAAGAAGCACGCCAAAATAAGAACAATTTTTAAGTATTTCAAAATGGCAAATATAACTTTTTTTTTAGCTGCGGCGGTTGTATGGTACAGGGTTGCTATGGCGATACATATAATGAACAAAATGAGATTTGTTTTTAAAAAATCACAATATATATAAATAGTATTACATTCTTCTCCTAAATAGCAAAAAATCTTTATAATATCTTGATCAATTATTAAATTATTAATAGTGTCCATGAATATATTGATCAACCCTCGTATATCCAAAAATGGTATTAAGTCATTTTTTTTTAACATTTCTGTCTGACATATGAGCCGTGTCACGACAAAACCAACATAATGGGTTTGCGACCAGCATGGATCCAGACCAGCCTGCGCATCCTCGCAGTCTGATCAGGATCCATGCTGTTCGCTATCAGTTTCTCTACTTGTTATAGGGTTTGTAAGCGAACAGCATGGATCCTGATCAGACTGCGCGGATGCGCAGGCTGGTCTGGATCCATGCTGGTCGCAAACGCATTACGTTGGTTTTGTCGTGACGCGGCTCATATGTTTTTGTTTCAGCTTTTAGGAGGGGAGGTTTACCATTATCATTCTAAATTTGTTGTCAAGGACCCAAAGACAGGGGGACAGAGGGCTTGGCACCAGGATTATGGGTAACAGAATTTAGCTGTTAACTATAACTTAGAATACTGTTAATAATTAATATGAACTTAACATATCCTATAAAAAAGAAAAATATGCTCCTTGTTTTTTTAATTGGGTTTTTATAATAAAATGTCATTAAAAATGCTTGATTTTCATTCAAAATGCTATTATAAAATGCTTGATTTTAAATTAAAATGTCATTTAAAATGCCTAATTTTCAATCAAATTGCTATTATAAAATGCTTGATTTTCAATCAAAATGCAATTATAAAATGCTTGATTTTAAATTCAAACGTCATTAAAAATGCTTGATTTTCAATTCAAATGCTATTATATAATGTATGATCTTCACAAAGATAAACTGATTTGATAAAGTTACATGAACACATTTTTTTCTTTCTATATTAAAAATATTGTTGTAGATATTGGTACAAGAATGGCTGCCTCTTTCCGGACATGATGACAGTTTTTGTTTCCATAGATACGGCTAATAAAGAAAATGGCTGCCTACAGGTATATACATGTGATATTTACTGATGATTAAGTGAAATTTTTTCACCATAGTTACACAATTCTGAATCTAGAATTTGTAAGAAAAATTCTTTAGTAGAATATATATAATATAATATATATAATAGAATATTATTTTTCAGCATATAAATGTGTTCATACAAAATCACTTGGAACTCTATCAACATTTTTTTCCCATTAAAAAATATCCAATAAAAATGGTTTTATCAATATTTGATATACCTTAGGAAAATGTCTGGAAAATGTGGCCATTTTAGTCCAGTCAAAATATCAAAACTTGAAGAGCATATCAAAATTAAACTTTCTAGACCTCATGCATTTATACTGTAGAATACTTTCAATTCTCATTGGCAATATTTCCTGTTTCGATTTTTAAATTTTTATTTATCTTTATCTTTTTTCTTTATTCCCATATTCATGCATTCGAAGTCATCATCTTAAATTGGTGCCGGATAAATAAAGATATTCACAGTTTCTGACTGATATATTGATTCGTAACAACTGTGAATTTGCAAAGGAATTGATTTGCAAATATAAGCGAAAAATTAATCTTATACGAATAAAACCTGTTCTACAGTAGTTGAATAATTTTATATTGTGACCTTAGTGCAGTAACTGGTTAAATCCTGTTAAATTTAGAAGGACTTAACCCATTACTGCACTAAGGTGATGATATACTTTAATTAAAGGTTCTGGAAGGATCTCACAGAGCAGGCCGGGTAGAGCATGGACTGTATGGAGGAGAGCAGGGGGCAGACGTTGAGAGAGTAGAGGAACTGAAAAAGTTTTGTCCTCTCAAATATGTTGAAATGAACCCAGGTAATATGCTCTTATTTTTCACAGTTCATTGTACTATACATGTATATCAAAGTAAAATTCTAATGATTTTAAACGAAAGTGGTTTTTGCAAAATTTGTCTATAACCATAAGCAAAAAAGCTTCAAGAGGTTTTAGCATGTTAACCCCTAAATGACGTGAATTTATTAATGGATTTGCCCTGCTTTAAATTTGGAACAGTCCATTAAGTATCAAACTACAAAAAAAAAGCAAAAAAAAAAGCAACCATTCTTATAAAGCCTCATCAGACTATAAACAGATATGCAGGCTGGCCTGGCTCTATACTGATGTCAATTAAATGCTACCGTATTTAGACTACTTTCAGATTAAAGTTAAAATGTTCAAGTTTTGTCATTTACTCATAATGTTTTACAGGATATACATGTAATTTAAATCAAGATTTCTTAAAAGAGCATACACACAAATTTCCCATGCCAAAAATTTGCAAATTTCCTGAATCCTTTAAAGTCAAGGTCATTTAGAAGTCAAGGTCAGAAATCAAGGTAATCTATATACTGGTAAGGGAGAGGGGCTGTAGTTCTAAGCATTATTACTGTTGTTAATATACCAAACAGAGACAGAGTGTTTACAATCAATGTACCTCCAGATCTTTTTATAATGCACTTTACTAAGAGGCTTCCCTATATAAACTTTTTTTCAAATAATAAAAAATTTAGAGAGAAATCTGTCAAGAATTATAAAAAAGTTAATTCTAAACAGGGTTTTTTCTTTCTTTTTCAGGGGATGCTTTATTTTTTCACTGTAACCTGCTGCACACCAGTGACATAAACTCTAGTGAAAGCAGACGCCTTGGATTTCTTCCAGCTTATAACCGGAAGTCAAACGACCCTGTGATTGACAGTCATCACCCGAGATACACACCACTTGACATGGTTTGTATCAGTTACTTCCCCTGATTATTACATTATACAAGCATACTTTGACGCAAGAGGCAGCCACTTTTCGCTATAACTGAAAAAATTATGGGTAATTGACAAGGTATTCCAAATATGTGAGGGGTGTTGGCAATTGCATCTTCTCAGGTCTTTCCGTCAAACTTTGGATAAGGGTTATTATTAATAAAAATAAGGAGTTCCGGTTGTAGTGTTGGTATTGTATCATATAATTAGGTATATAATGTTATAAAAGTTATAACCATTAGAACTCAAACCCAGAATGTTCATGTTGTGATCCCCTAAGATATCTGACCATGTTAGCAATTACTCTGAAACTTGCAATTACTACTCTAAAACTTGCCGTAAGTACTATATCTAAAACTGTGACTTGCTTCATTATTTATAATGCATTTTGAACTAGTTTCCCCAAAGTTGTATTAAAACAAACAATCAGCTAGCATATGAAAGGATGGTAGTTCTACCATAGTAAATGATAGTTCCAGCATGTGTCTAACCCCAGCTACTGATATTTCATAATTATAATGCTGAAATGTCTGCGCCAAGTGGGAGAATGTAGCTTTATGACATATGAGCAATTTTCTGAATAAGAAAAAAGTTTTTGTCCTGAATCATGATAAGTTTGATGCAAGATTATATTCTTATATTTCTCTATAATCTAAATTACAGGTACCAAACAATGCTGTTCTAGAGTGTGAAAACTTTACAGATTTGGGAGGTAAAGGTTTCCTGGACATGGCTAACCTTAAATCTATAAAAGCTCAAGTGCAGTTCAATAAATAACAATGCATGTACATGTACTTCACAGGGTGAAAGGTCATAGTTCGAAACCTACCAGATGTGTTTAATAAATAACAATACTAGTGGGTGAAAGGTCATAGTTTGTATCCATTTAGATGACATCTCAGTACATGTACATCAATTGAATTATGGAAACAATATGTCCTCTTAAACATTGTGTCATAATATTTGTAATAAAATTTAACTAAAATTCAATGAAATCTTCTCATAATAAAGTGTTGCATTCAACTAAATGTAGGTTTGGCAATATGTCCTTTTTACCAAATTTCATTCAATTTAATACAAGTTTGAGTTACAAAAAAGTTGTTATTTTTATATTTTATAATATTGTATTCTACAATAATCTATATTATGTAATTTAAATTTGACTTTTATTTTTATTTCTAAACATCCATAGAATGGTGTTGTAATAAAAGATGAAAAAAAATTCTTTAGTTAAAATAATTTATTCCTTTATAAATAGTTAACCAGTTGAATATAACCTGGCCCGTAAATGAAAAGAAAATTTCATCCTTGTTCTTAGCAATGAGAGTGGCTCATTTTACCAACATGTTTTCATTGGTCTTTGCTTGTCCTTTAAATGATTCTGAGACCCCCCCCCCCCCCCCCCTCACACACACACCCAAGATCTATGAGAGGGAAAAAGATGAGAAAAAATCAAAATGAAAAATTAAACACATGATTTGATCAAGTCTGTTAATTCAGGCCTAAAAACTGAGAAATGTGACATGATTTCTCGTGCCCCTGGAAGTATTTTATTTATTTATTTATTTATTTGGCAGTATTTTTTTTTTGCCCTGATTTGATACATGTACTGGTAGTATTGGAACTAGTGAAACTTTATGAAACCAGAAAAATATTAATATTACAACACATATGTGAATTAGAAGCGAGATTTTAAACCACCACAAAACATTTTTCTTCCTTCGTTGAACTTGGCTGAAGACCAAAGCCAGTTTGTAACTTATCAGTTATGAATAAATCAAATTAATTATTGATAAACATAATTTATAACCAAAATCATAAAAGGGAACTTGACAGTTAAAATATTGTCAAAATTAGAAAATCCTCAAATGGTGTAAGGGAAATAATTCAAGGTAAACTATTACTTATTGTTGACCTTTGATTAATTCCCTTGGTGAATTTATTTAATTATTATTATTATTATTATTATTATCATCATTATTATTATTATTATAACCATTAATTTTTAATTACTTTACAGCATTCAACTGTAACATTATTTCTGCTAGTAATGTACAAATTGATATTTTGTGGTCGTAAATACGTTGAATTGACCCCGTTCAATATCTTTTTGGTGGCAAAAGTGAATAAGTATCATTATGTGGCTTATAATGGAGTTGCAGTAAATGAAAAGGGCTTTTAATGGTGGCCAGCGTATTTGCTTTTTGTTATCTACTCAACATAATTATGTATGTATAATATTTGACGTACACCGCCAGCGTTAACTAATATCTGGAACAGGGTTTGCCTAAAATACGAAAGTGAGATTTTTGACGAAAGTGAGCGAAAGTGAGCGAAAGTGACTTTTAAAATATTAATTGTAACGTTTTAATAGACTTTTACAATAAAATTGCAGTTTGTAGACGTATATTATTAGAAAATACTTATATCTATTATAAAAAATAATCATAATAATGATTTATTCGGTTTTTATTTGCATAATTTATATAAACAAATTCTTATATCTTCCTTTCGCTTACATTGAAAAATACGAAAGTGACTTATAAAATATACCGTTTAAATTGAAATTATTTTTACTATTATTGCACAAATTGGACGTATAATATCAGAAAATGATAATATTTACTTTCAAAGATAATCATTATGATGATTAAATCGCCATTTATTTTGCATAATCTCTATACACAAGTTATATCACGGATTTATATTACATGTAATATAAATCTGTGATCGGACGAAAGTCAATGTCAATATTCACGATATTAATGTTTTTTATAATAAAAAAATAAATGAGTCATTTTCATTATTATTCATGTTTTCATGGTGATTGACCTATAACTGATGATGAAAATGACTAGCACAAAATATAAAAAAAATCCTAACTTATAAAAAGATTGAACTTTACCGATATATATAGTACGATATTTATAGAAAATTCCGTGGATTACTTATTTCCTTTTTTCCATAGTGAAATATTATTTTAACAATGATGGGAAATTCCAAATTATTTTTCAAATTAACATGTACATTGCTCATCTACACCTGGATGAGCATAATAACTGCCACTTTAATCCGTGCAAGATATCTATGGTTGTGCAGAAGAAAGGTTAATTCAATTGTCCACTCAATAAACAACCGGGCAAGTGTCATCAGTTACATACCTTTGATTGGATTATAATAATACTTTAGTGGGATTAAAGCGCCATGCGGTCACCGTCGTGTGTACTATCAATTAAAGTGGATGCGAAAATGATATGACAACACGTGTTTGCATGTAAACATATTCATACTTTATTTTGTCTCATTCGTATACATGCATTTTTAAACATATATACAACTATTCACATAAAACCTACATAAGACCATTCCATTTAATAATTTCAAGAGACATTATAATAATGAGAAACACATTCAAGACCTATTACTGTTAGATTAGAATCAAACAGTATAATTACAATATAATATATAAACAGAATATTAAATGTTAGGTAACACCATCTTTAATCAAAAATTAAAAACTGCCCGAAAAAGACGATGTAAGAAATAGAGAACTGTAAATCGGGGCCCTAACGCATAAATTGTATAATTCATGTTTTTGCCAATTATAGTTTACATAATAAATTTCATTTTTCATCTTAACATATTTAGTTTTATAAAAATGATAGTTACTATAGCTTATAACATACGTCTACAAACTGCAATATTATCATGAAATTCTATTTCAACGCTATATTTGATATTCTGTAAGTCACTTTCGTCAGGCTCACAGTAAGTGAAAGGAAGATCAATGTCTTAGCCTGTGTATAAATATTATGCTAATAAATGAAGATCAAATCATATTGATTAAAGATACTAGTTTTGATAATATACGTCTACAAACTGCATTATTAATATTAAATGCAATTTAAACGCTATATTTGATATTTTTAAAATCACTTTCGCTTCCTCTCCCTAACATTGAAAATACGAAAGTGAGCGAAAGTAAGATCTCTGATATTGCTATATAGAAATAATGAAAATGCATGAATATTAAAACCTCATAATGATTTTTAAGTATTTTTATTCATTTCTGAAACTATGCGTCTACAAACTGTTATATTAACAAGGCCGTCGTCGATGGTCCGGCCGGTCCAGCCTTGGCCGGACCAATATTTTGGCCAAATATGAGTAAAAAAGACAAAACAAAAACAGAAAAAAAACACGCATCGCTGATTAGCAATTTGACACTTAATTGGCCCCTTATGCAATGAGCGGTAATATCAGAAAATGACTGGACACTGTTAATTGACCAGGTATTTGTAGGGGTCCTACGAAGTCATTTTGACAAATCAGAAAATATTACTGTTACTGTACCTGACTTTGAAATTTGTGTCAAAACAGACAGTGCTAGAACGAGCACTGTTCTCTGAGGTCATTTTGTTAAAGATGCCTGCTACTTATGTTATCAGTGATAGGACATTCTCGGCGCTCAAAAGAATAAAGACATATATACTTAAGATCAACAATGTCTCAAGTACATTTGAACAATCTAAGTAATGGTGTTACATATTCATAAGTACAGGACAGATTCACTCAACTTACGTGTAATTGCCGATGAGTTCATTACCACCAGAGAATTACGGCGATGTGTTTTTGGAAAATTTACATAAAATGAGACTCTGTGTTTTGTAAGATTATTGTGAACAAAATACAAGTTACTGCTAAACAAAAAGCGGTTATTGTTGACTCGTAATGTACTATTCTTCCATCATGGCATCGATTGTTATTTATTACATGCTTTTCGGTGGTTTATAGAAATATATCAGTGATATAAAACTGGTTATTTCACTGTTTGAAACAGTGAAATTATTTCACTGTTTTGAATTTAAACCCCTTACGTTGTTTTAGTGAAATACCAGCGTGCACAATACTGGTTACCAACTTAATGACGTGACGTCGTAAATTACGTCACGTTATTTTATTAGTTCGTGCGCTTTTCATTCAGTATAAGGTTTAATGTCTTTTAAAAACGTTTCTTTGCATGTAATAAAAAGAAAATTTGTTTAGTATAGTGTAAGATTGAAATATATTTCACTTTGTGAACACCAAATGTTCATATTTCACTCGTGGCTGCGCCACTCGTGAAATATACCTTTTGGTGCTCACTCGATGAAATATTTTCCGATCTTACACTGAACTTAACAAATATTCTCTATTTAAGCTTATACCATTGTGTGATTTATGTTAAACAACCTTGAATTTCACCCTTAAAACCCTTACGACGCACTTAAATCTGTAAAAAATCATTGACATATTATAATAACATGTACTAGCGACAGGCTGTAAACTGTGCCAAATATACGGGAAAACGCCCCTGAGAGCATCATAGAATAAAAAAATTTCCGGGGGAGCATGCCCCCGTACCCCCCTAGATTCTGGCTAAAACCTACCAAATTGGCCGCACCAATCATAAAATCGTGACGACGGGCCTGATTAATATTAATTCAAAATAAACGGTATATTGAATGTTTTATAAGTCACTATGTAGATCTATGTAGTTGTGTATAGAAATTATGCAAATAAATAGCGATTAAATCATATTATATAATAATTATTTTTGAAAATGAATATTATCAATTTCTGATAATATACGTCTACTTAGAGCAATTTTAGTAAAAAATCAACTTAACCAGTATATTTAATATTTTATATGTCACTTAAGTATTTTTCAATGTGAGCGAAAGGAAGATTTCTGAACTTGTGTATAGAAATTATGCAAATAAATGGCGATTAAATCATCATAATGATAATTTTTAAAAATAGATATCATCAAATTCCAAAACTATACGTCTACAATCTCAACATTATATTAATATAGATTTAAATTAATCGCTATATTTGATATTTTGAAGTCACTTTCGTATTTTTTCAATCTGAGCGAAGGAAGATATCTGAACTTGTGTATAAAAATAATGCAAATAAATAGCGATTAAATCATCATAATGATTATTTTAAAAAATAGGTATCATCAAGTTCTGATAATATACATCTACAAATTGTAATTTTAGTAAAAATTTCAATTAAAACAGAATATTTAATATTTTATAAGTCACTTTCGTATTATTCAATGTGAGCGAAAGGAAGATATAAGAACTTGTGTATAGAAATTATGCAAATTAGTAGCGATTAAATCATCATTATGATTATTTCTGTTAATAAATATAATTATTTTCTAATAATATACGTCTACAAACTGCAAGTTTGTTTTAAAAGTCTATTAAAATGTTATAATTACTATTTTAAAAGTCACTTTCGCTCACTTTCGCTCACTTTCGTCAAAAATCTCACTTTCGTATTTTAGGCATACCGTCTGGAACATACATCCCAGCTAATATTTTACTTAATTTGGTCTCTTTTTCATAAAATGTTTTCAAATAATTGTTAGCTAAGCTATATGGCCACGATTTATTACACAATTGCACCAAATACTACCGTTGTAAACCTAACCTATCATTATTTGCGTCTATAACACTGTTTGCTACGCTCTTTATTGACAAGGTCACATGTACATTTTAGAGCGGGAAAATTGTGTATTGCAATTCCCGCGGAAAAGTCACCTGACCAGTTTTATGGGTCACGTGGGTTGAATTGGCGGCAAGATGAAAGGGATATCTACAATGCGATTGGATACACAGGATTGACCCTCTTATGACCCCACCCACGTGACATTTGTTGTTATTTTCGACCAGATAATCTACACGAGGGCAGGAGATTGGATATTTTTCATTAAATTAAAAGGATTTAATAGTTTCTAATGAGTGATAGAAATGGCAATGATTGACAGTTCAAATATCTTGGATTTAACTAGCCGACCACGACGTGTTCTGCACAGTCCTGGGAAGAATTACGACGGGGAAGGCGAACGAAACTTGGAGTTGCGAGGAATCTTCGACGTTTTGAGTGCTTACCAAGGATATGAAGGTGGAATAAACTGTAGCAAGTGTGGTAGGTTTTAAACATATATTTTTCTGTTTTTTGCAGTTATCAAAAATGTTTCACGTGCTACAATTCTAGCACTGGTCAATTATTTTCTAATTGGGTCGCTGAATTAGATGATAAATCATCAAGAATTTGTTTTGCATGCTGAATGGGAGATTGGTTTGTATTAATTTTGGCTGGCAAAGTTATGAAAACTGTACAGTATACGTTAAATAAGCTGATTGTATAAATAGTTATGATAAATTCTTACGTAATATAGGTGTCAACATTTCTATTTATAGATGAAAGCAGGTGCGTCGCCTGTTTATTAGTACTTAAACAAAAAGTTAATAAGCAAAATAACAGTACAGTTTATATTGAGGAGTAACAAAAAGTAGTTTAAAGTACAATAACTGATGTAGTCTTGTTGACTTAAAAAATACCCTCTAATTAACACATATGAGATGCATTCTATGTGAGATGAATTTATAGTTTTACATCACCTTGCTGATCGAGTTGTTCATGTGTTTTACAAGACCATAAAAACTTAAAGGATAAACTAGGAGCATATACTAACACCTTAGTACAGTAACAGGTTAGTTACTCCTATTGGCTTTAATAGGAATTAACCTGTCACTGTACTTATTATAATATTAAGGTTGTTGCTAAAATAAATAAAATAAAATATAGTGGTTTATTCAAATTGAAAAGTTCTTCATACTGTTACAGTATGTCATTTTCTTCCAACTTCTGGGCACTTTGGTTCTTTGGTTTAGATTTAAGATATATTTGGTACATAATCACAAATAACTGGTCAAATGTAGTGAGGCTGAGGATATAGATGTAAATATGGGACACTATATATATTTGTGTGTCATGATCATGCAAGGGACCTTTGTTTCAGAAGTTAGTGTTTAAGGTCGCCAAGAGCAAGTCACTTTCACCCTCACTGCCCCGAGTTTGAATGTTGTCAAATAGTTTGGATTCACTCACACATGTGTGCAAACTATCCAGGTAGCAGCTTATTGAAGGTACTAATGTTCTATTCAGATGCCAACTTATTCAAAAATAATATGTGCATGTAGAGGCAAAATTTGTGCGACTAGTTTCAGAATAACTGAGTATGATTTTCATTTATTACACTTGCAATTTCTGTTCTTTTTTGTTTTAGGTAAGCTGTACAAAAGTAAGGTTTGTTTTATCAAGCACCTATGGGAACACAGCGTGTATTGGGATCTATTTCCTGGGGATAAGAATCATGAGCGAGTTTTGGCGATACAGGCAGCTCTGATCCTGTACTCGAGGCACCTTGGAGTCACACAGGATGATTCTGATAAGTAAGTCACTTGAAATCGACCAGGTCCACAGTTGACATTTACTATTAACTTGCTAAATTTTGTTAAATGAAATGCCCCACTATTATATTAAAGTTTTGTTAAATGAGATGCCCCAGTTTTGTTTTTAGATTAGTCAGGGATTTCAATATTAGTCAACCAATAGTAAAAGCCTGGGAACTGGATGTGCAGGATGGCCTGGCTCTCCATGGGTGGCAAAAGCTAATCACTTTTGGTTTGTTAAAGATTAATATAAGGAGTAAACTTTTAGAAGCATATTGTGATTTGTTAGGTTAGTTGAGTGAAGTCTTTTAGTGAAATCAAAGATCTTTTAGCATTTGAACTGGGAGGTTTTGTTCATGTAGCAATACTGAATTTTGTTTGTACAGAATTTATTTATTTTAGCTCGATTGTGTAGGAAGCTATAAGCTTATAGACACACTGTCTAATCCGTTTCTAGAACCAACCAGTGCTGAGCAATGAGTGTAAAGTTTCTTACTCAAAGAAACAAGGACTTGCCCTTGACGGGTTTGAACCCATGTGGCTAGCGATCATTAGATTACCACTTTACTAGTCCGATGCGTTGGCCATTCCGCCACATCAATACTGAATTTAACCCCATGCTTTGATTTTGTTGTCAATATTGTAAACAAGGTAACCTTAAACTTGTTGTGTACAATGTAGTTATAGGGTATTATGCTGATGTATGAAATGAAGCAAAAAAAAAAGTTTAGTTACAATTTTGTGTAACTTTAAACTGCAAGGAATAGTTATGAAATTTTAATGGCAATGTTGAATAATTATTTGATGTACTTAAAAAATAAAATACAATAAAAATATTAATTATATTGATACAGGTTACGAGACTTGTTGGTTACTTCACCAAGTGGACATGATTCCACGCCAACACACACCACGCCAAAAAAGTCCAGACCAGTGAACACCCCTCTTACGCCAACCACACCCAACAGAATGCGACCTGTACAGCACTTCACATCGCCGCAGAAACAAATGTCGGAGAACTTGCGGCCCGTCCCTTTCCCAGTCAGCTCCGAACTTTTGCCTCCCGTCACACCAGAAAAAGAGTTTGAGCGACCACTTGTATGTCCACCAACACCAAGAAAGGATAAGCGGAAATTAGCCGCAGCAAAATCGCAACGAATTTCAAAAAAGAAACGAAGGCTTTTGTTGGAGTAATGTGAATACTTGTACATTCAGACATTTGTGTTCATTTTTTTTTGTTTACTGTGTTCAGTACATTCTGTTATTGGAAAGGAACATTTTGTATGTGTTCAGAAGTTGTGATTCTCTAGACATTGTTTAATGAGAGAAGTTGTTATACCATTGTGGAGGGTGGCTAAAAAATATGTTAAAAAGCATGCTATCAAAAGATAATTGAAAGTGCTTTGAACATTGTGAATCGTTACTGTCTAATTTAGTGCTTGCTAATATTTGAGATTGTTGTTTTAAGAATGTTTTGTTTAAGTGAAAAGTTGATTTTTGTTGAAGATTTAAAATAGATTTGTTACAGATGTAATGAAAGCAGGTTTCCTCTTGTACAAAGCTGCACACCTCCAGATGAGCCAGCAAAATCAATTATCAAACAGTATGATAATTGAGCCGCGTCACAACAAAACCAACATAATGCGTTTGCGACCAGCATGGATCCAAACCAGCCTGCGCATCTGCGCAGTCTAATCAGGATCCATGCTGTTGGCTATCAATTTCTTTACTTGTTATAGGTTTTGTAAGCGAACAGCATGGAGCCTGATCAGACTGCGCAGATGCGCAGGCTGGTCAGGATCCATGCTGGTCGCAAACACACTATGTTGGTTTTGTTGTGACGAGGCTCGTGTTTTTTTCCCCAACTTTTTCAAATTTGATCTCAAACATTGACACCAAAGGTCATTTGTCTCTCTCTGAATAAGAACTCTTGGATAAGTAGTCAGTCACTTGCCAAGGAATAGGTAATTACTGGTTAGTTAATTTAGATATCGGGTTAGGTGGACTGAACACTGAGATATGACCGAAAATAAGTTTATTAAACTGGTGTAAAAATGATCAAATCTGAACATGGAGGTGTGCTGTCTTAATTTTTGCTGCTTTAAGAAAACAAAGGTTTACTGAGATAAGAGGGTCATACAAAAAAAAAAGAAACTTTTTTTAAACCACTTAAAGCCTTAAAAAACAAATTTTAAATTTTCAGGTATGAAAAATAGCCTGAAATAAGCTTTATATTTAAGTCTCTTCACAAGAAATTCGAGTTGCAACTATTAAAACTGGAAATTTTAAGACTTTTGTCAAATTTATGTAAGTGCAACCCCTAATGTGGAAGTCAAATATTATTATGTATTTTTATACTGGCCCTTTTTATACCAAACTTTCTTCTGATTTAACTTCCGCATGATTTTTGCTTGTTGTCAAGAAACCTTCGTTTTACTTTCTACATAATTTTGTTATATATATTTGAAAATGTGATATGTAAATATGTTTTTAAATGCTTGCCAAGTTACCTTATAATGTTTTGTATTTGTATATTATCACGTATATATGCTTATTGTGTTTAGTTAAGGGTACATTCATTGTAAAAGTTTGACACTTTTTAATCCAGCTAGGGTGGTCTCTTGTGTATGAAATAATGCACGAAGGGACACCTGAGTTTTTCCTTGACCAATTAAGCTGAATGTAGCTATGACTGTTACAGTGTAGGTGCATTTTAAAACCCATCAAACAAAAACATCTCTGGATCGGAAGTGGATTTTTATGAAATTAGAATATTAACGTAAATGATAAGGGAAAACTTGCTTTGAAATAACATTTTAAAGTTGAGATTTTGATACACAATAACCAATTGAATTGTTCCAAGATTAATGTTGAATTTGTTTACTTTTTCTTGAAATAATTTGTCAATCCACTGTGTCAGTGTAATTGTTAGTCTAAGGAATATGTTCAGGTTTTTTTTCTATGAAATAAAATCGGGGGTTTTTTTTGTGTAAAAGTCTTTGGTAAGACTAGATTTATGATGCCAGTATACAAAAGTTAATACGGGATAGCATGTATGTTTGTATGCTTAGGTGTAGATATTTTTTTTACTGTTTTCTAAAATTTGTAACTACGCTTAGGTTTCTTTTAGTCACCTTGTTCTAAAAAAATATTTTTTTCCAGTGCTAGCATTAGTGTGACTTTAAACTGTAACTTAGTCATGAAGAACAAGCAATAGGCAACTTACAATTATGTGTACTGTACATGTATTTCTTTATTTTGAGAAGAATTTTTTTCCAGATTTAGATTTTTTGAACTTTTAAGGACTTCATTGTATTACCATTATTACTTTTCGATGATCATAGTTTATCTGTAAGGGTTCTGTTCAGTCTAGTAAATCAGAAGTTACAAGCTTGTTATAGTTTATGATGGTCAAGCTTAGTGTCTTATAGTTATTGCTCATATATGTAAAGCATTATAAGAAATTCAAAAAAAATGTCTATTGTCTTGCATTTCAAGCTTTAATCAAATTTTTATCCAATTTTCTTTCAATTTCATGCTCAATCATTAACAAAAACTCTCAAACAATGTACTTATCAATTTAAAATAAAATACAAACAACAATCTATATTTGCCTATCCGCCATACTGGTTAAGTTAAGCACTTTATAGATTGATTCCAAATTTTTGATCGGAAGAACATATTCGTACTCGCTGGCGGTGCATGGGTAAATATACAAATATTTCATTAAAAAATATTTTTGAAACTTTGGACTCATTTAAACGCTTGCATTCAATTAACTAATCAGATTTTGTAAACTGTGCGACAGCCATTTGTTTATCAGCTGTATAAGGAATTTAATTAAATAAAAAGATTTTTAGGATGTGACAGTTGAATAATTTTGTTAAAAGGTATTTCTATTTTTCTATTGTTCAAGTATAGCTCGAAATGAATTGCTGAATGTGTTACGGGTTTATGAGCAATTACGATACAACGTTACTTTGCCAAGAAGTAAAAATAAATGACCTCGTAGGGCATTTTGTTTATTAGAATATATGGAGGTGTTTTTTCTTCTCTCCTATATTTCAGAGTTTGTTTTTGAAAAGTTTATGTGTTCTGTGTATATTGGCATCTATTTTCAGTGTTTTAATTGGAAATTTACTGTCGTGTAAAATTTATGGAAGATAAAAGGTACATGTCTGATTATTACAAAGATTTTTTTAACAGCTTTAGCTGTTTACTTTTAAGGTATTTTTTTATGTGGAATGAGGCATTATTTAACCATGGGTACAAGTTTTCTGGCATTTGGTTTATTCTACTCTTGTAAGCGTTCTTTTTCTATATAAACCTAATTGAAATAATACAAATTCAGGGTTTTCAGGTTTTCTGTTATCTCTAACTTGCACCCATGTTTAAGTATGTTTAAGAATTTGTAATAAGCACTTCAAGATCAGTTAATGCAGTAAATGAATAGGAAAAATCCAAGTCTTGAAATTTAGTTACATATAAACTTCTATGTGTCAAACAATTTGCTTATTTGTATATCAATTACAGCATTTTCTATAGACGAAAAAACACCACAATTATAAAAATTACAGCTTGTCGTCTTATTGGACAAAACAATTACTGCTACATTAATTCCCAGTTGCATTTCACATTATAATACGTCCAAGGTATAAATCAATTTTTTACAAAAATTAAATTAAAGATATTTAACATTAAATTTTTGCTTTTCATCCTTTACTAAAACCTTTTCCTTAGGTATTGAAATATAAGATGTAATTGTAATTTTGTTTTGAAATTTCAAGATTATTTGTCTTAAAAAAAATAGTGGTTAACAAAATGTTTTATGTTTCACATTTTTGCCAGTGGTTTTGTTAAAACTGTTTTCAAAAAATATAATTTCAGAATTCAATTTTATATGCACTAAGATTTGTTAAACTTTAAATTTTTTATATCGTTTTTTTTTGTAAATAGTGTATATATGCATGTATATACTTTACCCGTACACACATGGTGCTAAATGATAGAGACTTTAGTATTATGTAGGAAAAAATGTCGTCGTCAAAATAAATGTTTTAGCTTTTGTTATAAAAAAAACATCAAAAAAGAACTTACGAGTTAATGTTTGCATAAAAAATATTTGGTTATTTCAGAGTCTATTGATATTCAATGTTTTATTTTGACTTGTTTTCTTCGATTGCTAATTCTTCTAAAGTAATAGTTATAATAATTCTTCCCCAATTAGTTTATAAGTTTTTTTCTGGAGAGTTTTATTTTTTCCATATGAATCTTCTGTAAGACTGTTTTCACAAAATTTAGTTTTTCCCCATACATCATTTCAATATTGGAAGTAATTTTCATTCAAATTCATTGAATTTAATTCTTTCTTGAGAGGTTTTTTCCTCCAAGTTTGTAAATTCCATCCTTAGTTATAATTAAATTCCTTCCCAGGTTATGCTATTCATAAATTCCTCCCTTATTTATGTTTTAATTAAATTCCTTCCTTAGATATAATTCTTCCTTGATATTTAATTTTGCCTAAAAAACTTTCCTGTTTATTTGAGCGGTGTCATGGCAAAACCAACATAATAGGTTTGCAGCCAGCATGGATCCAGACCAGCCTGCCCTTCCGCGCAGTCTGATCAGGATCCATGCTGTTCGCTTACCAACCCTATTTCAAGTAGAAAAACTGATAGCGAACATTATGGATCCTGATCAGACTGCGCGGATGCGCAGGCCTGTCTGGATCCATGCTTATGTTGGTTTTGTCGTGACGCAGCTCATTTAATCATTTGCCTGTGATTTATTCCTCTAATTAAAGTTGAATTCGGAAAGTTTATTTTTTTACTCGATACTCAATTTTTCCCTTCAAATTGACTGTTGAATTCCTCTAGTAAACTTGATTGTTCAATAAAATATTAGATATTCTTTTTGTTTTTCCTTCCTGAAAAGTTTCGATGCGATTTTTGGCTTGACTTTGGTTTAAGTTTTTGCATTCAAGTTGGTATCTCTAAAACTATTAAAAGAAAATATGTTCAAACTTTACACATTTGTTCTCTTTGATTATCTTACATCAGTAGCACAGGTCCCATAACTCTTGAATTACCTTTTAACAGATTCTAACTGTCAAACTCTGAGAATAATCTAGCCCGACATGTTATAGACAGCTCTTGTTAATGATTATTTTTCTTCTGTTTTCAGTTAAGAGAAATAAAAGTTTTTGTTAATTTGAATAAAAAAAAATTTTTTTTATTGTTTTAATCTTGTTGATTGAATATTTTTTTTTTATTATAAGTGAAGATTTTTTTTTTTAAAGAAACTTTGTTTAATAGTATATTAGTGTAAATATGTTAAAAGGCCATTTGGGTGATATGTGTTTTTTTGTATGAACAAATGTATATTTTTACTGTAAAATTTTCTTTTTTTTTTGATGACTGTAATGTTAGTAAAAATGCTGCATGGCAAATATAAAATGTTAGAAGCAGTACTGTGTTACTTGTTATTATACCATTATCTGGGACAAAAATTCATTTATTTATCCCAGAACATATAAAGAGATATCAAACTGGCCTTCAGGAGATCAATGGATTTGCAACAATGCCTTCTATATTTGACATCAAGGGAGACTAAGCAGTTTACAGTCGTTGTCCCCCCTTATGTCAAAGATTTCATGTTTAAATTTTAATACTGCTTAGTCTCTTGTTGCAGAAGAGTTTTTCTCCCTAGTTATGGAAGAATTAAAATAAGGCTGTTTTCTGCCTTGTTATGGAAGAATTAAAATAAGGCTGTTTTCTACCTTGTTATGGAAGAATTAAAATAAGGCTGTTTTCAGAATTAAAATCAGGCTGTTTTCTCCCTTGTTATGGAAGAATTAAAATAAGGCTGTTTTCTGCCTTGTTATGGAAGGATTAAAATAAGGCTGTTTTCTCCCTAGTTATGGAAGAATTAAAATAAGGCTGTTGTCTCCCTAGTTAAGGAAGAATTATAATAAGGCTGTTTTCTCCCTTGTTATGGAAGAATTAAAATAAGGCTGTTTTCTACCTTGTTATGGAAGAATTAAAATAAGGCTGTTTTCAGAATGAAAATAAGGCTGTTTTCTCCCTTGTTATGGAAGAATTAAAATAAGGCTGTTTTCTCCCTTGTTATGGAAGAATTAAAATAAGGCTGTTTTCTCCCTTGTTATGGAAGAATTAAAATAAGGCTGTTGTCTCCCTAGTTAAGGAAGAATTATAATAAGGCTGTTTTCTCCCTTGTTATGGAAGAATTAAAATAAGGCTGTTTTCTCCCTAGTTATGGAAGAATTAAAATAAGGCTGTTTTCTGCCTTGTTATGGAAGAATTAAAATAAGGCTGTTTTCTCCCTTGTTATGGAAGAATTAAAATAAGGCTGTTGTCTCCCTTGTTATGGAAGAATTAAAATAAGGCTGTTTTCCCCCTTGTTATGGAAGAATTAAAATAAGGCTGTTTTCCCCCTTGTTATGGAAGAATTAAAATAAGGCTGTTGTCTCCCTTGTTATGGAAGAATTAAAATAAGGCTGTTTTTTCCCCTTGTTATGGAAGAATTAAAATAAGGCTGTTGTCTCCCTTGTTATAGAAGAATGAAAATCAGGCTGTTTTCTCCCTTGTTATGGAAGAATTAAAATCAGGCTGTTTTCTCCCTTGTTATGGAAGAATTAAAATCAGGCTGTTTTCTCCCTTGTTATAGAATAATTAAAATAAGGCTGTTGATTGTCTCCCTTGTTATAGAAGAATGAAAATAAGGCTGTTGATTGTTATAGATGAATTAAAATATGGCTGTTGATTGCCTCTCTTGTTATAGAAGAATTAAAATATGACTGTTGATTGCCTCCCTTGTTATAGAACAATTAAAATAAGGCCATTGATTGCCTCCCTTGTAATAGAAGAATTTAGGGCTGTTGATTGTCTCCCTTGTTAAAGAATAATTGAAATAAGGCTGTTGATTGTCTCCCTTGTTATAGAATAATTGAAGTTAGGCTGTTGATTGTTCCCTGGTTTTGGCCAATTCTGGTGCTACATTAAGGAACAGTATCATGACCCAAGTAGGGCAAGAACTTACAATTCCTTGTTTGAGAGGCACTAAAAAATTTTTGACTACTAGGCTTGAAAAAATATTATTGCTTCTTTAAAATAAAGAAATAGGAATTTTTTACAGCCACCATAAAGCTATTACCTTTGCTGTTATAGTTCTGTTAAAGCTACATGCCTCCAGATAAGCCAAGATACCTAAATAAAATCAAACTTGAGAAAAATGTTCTAAGATTTTAAGAAAAGTAAAAAAAAATCAATATTCAAGTAATAATTTACATGTTATGCGCGATTAATGACTGATTTTTCTGTATTTATATCTTTATTTCTACTGCACTAACGCAGTTAGGACTATTTTTGCATATTTTGAACTCTTCTCGGTAATTTACGTGGGTTGCAAGCGCCATTGACAAAGTGTAAATTGCTTCCTTCCGGTCACTTCACAATATTATACTTTTAGATACATTTCAAAATTTTCATGAATATTAGCTTGAATCTGGAGGCGTGCTGCTTTAAAGGAAGCAATTCTATCCAAAAAAAAACGAAATTGCTTTATTCATTTGCTGGGATTTACTCCCTCTTAAAATATTAGAGATATATGTCAAAAGAATTACAGGTAAATGGCTGGGCTTTACTGAAATTCCAGGTAAAATGTCAAAATATTAAAATATGATGAATTGCAAATTAGGTAAAGGTATCACTAACAGTGAACTGGATGTTTAGTTACTGACAAAAAACTCGGGACTTAATGCCACCTATACCTTTTTTTCAAAGTATATTTGGAAGAGGAAGAAAGAAAGAAAGAAAGAAAGAAAAAGAAAGAAAGAAAGAAAAAGAAAGAAAGAAAGAAAGAAAGAAAAAAAGAAAGAAAGAAAGAAAGAAAGAAAGAAAGAAAAAGAAAGAAAGAAAGAAAGTATTGACAAGTTGAGAGATCTTTCCATTATACTTTTGCAGTATTTCCATTTTAATGGCATCACTTGATCTATGCAAAAATTGCCTTGTTTTTCGCAGATGAATATAATAAATCAAATAATTATTACTTAAAGATCCGTAACTCGTAAATCGGAAAATACCGTGTTAGCGATGGGAAATAACTACCATACTAAGTAAAGTAAGATTAATTTCCCTTTATTTCAAAAAATATTTATTTCTCACAAGGCTAGATTAATAAAACTCATTTGTTTCTTGTCTCCCAACCAATGCTCACACACTTCTGTGCTCGCGATTTTTCTAATTCACAGTTTTTGTAGCATTTTTTTTCATCGTTTGTATCATATTGATTCAAACTGTCTTCTGAAACGATAAAACATACTCTAGAATGCTATGTTTCTATTCCAAAACAGTTATTTGCCATTCAGCTTTTAGGAATTGTACAAGGAATGTAAACTTCTCCATTTTGAGAGGAAACTATTTGTGACACATAATCTTTACCAATATATACTTGCAAGGAGTCAATAACATGTTCTATGTACAGAAAACTGCTCTTCTGTTGATAAGCACACAGCAAACAAGCCGAGTTTTTAATTTGGCCTTGCAACAGACAGAAAATCATTTCAAAAAGAGGGAGAGTAATCTCACTTCCATATTTGATATTTAGTATCAGTAACAGTTACTTCCCTTTAACCATTTAATGCACCCGAATTAAGGGTGGCAGCGGGTATATTCGATACTGCGGTGATATTTTTTATAAAATAACATTTGTTTTGTATTCCTTTGGATAAAAAAAGAATATTTCATAAATATAACAAATAAACGCATTGTTTATATTTATTTCTTTTATTTTTACTTTTTTTTTCAAAAATAATGTAAACATTTTGTAAAAAAAAAACACACACACAATTTGGTTGATTTGACGCCATTGTTCATGGTTACCTTCAAAAAACGCTTAAAGACATAAACCTGTACATTGTCTTTCTTTGGTCAAAGAGTACGTACAGGACATGACCAAATGTTTTGTTTTCGTTTTCTTGAAAGAAATATATTTTGATATTACTTTGAGACAAACAAAATTAACTCAAAAATTAAAAAAAATAACAAGTCAATTACGTGAATGATATACATGTATGTTTTACTATAAAATAATAGACAGTGACACCTCCCTTATCGAAATCTGAGTATTTCCGGTACTGCCTCTAAATATATGAACATGGGAATTAATTATGGGTCCGGGAATTACATGAAAAGCCAATGGAACAAATATACATGTAATAAGAATTAGAATGTCTTTGAGCAGTCGGTTGTGGGGATGAGATTGGGAAGGATTTAACTTGCACAAAAATTACATATGGTTAAGATTAGGTTTAATTTTACAATGGTTAAAATCAAGCATGGAAATTTCGTTATTTAATTTTGCAAAGGTATACAGGCGGGGATAAAACCCAAAGGTTTCCGTCTAAATATAAATATCACAATATAGCATGCAGAGCCTCGTTCCCGTAACCGGAAACGATAATATCATCTGCAGAAATAATTCAAATGTTTACATAATACTTTCACAATAATGTGTTATAAATTATGTTAAATGGTCTTATTTCTGTAGATACATCAAAAACTATCTATATGACGTCATGAAATGATATATACAATGAAATTTTAAAAATATATTTGATCTCCCTAACTTAGAAATAAGAGAAGAAAAACAAAACAACAATTTCAAAATGGGGAATTGCACTAACGCCTGGCATTTTTTGTATTGGAAATATATTTCAAGAACATGTCTATGAGTGTCATTTGGGGATAAGTGAAAAGTTGATTGTATTTGCATGTGCCAACAGTCTTGCCATTTTGCACGTCTGCGCATTCTCTGAAACCTCTTGGCGGGCCAAGTTCATCATTGTTATCTAAGCATTTCAAAAATCCTATCTTGCCAAATTTAATATCTAATATATGGCAGACCAAGTATTAGATTATGCAGCTTATTTTCAACTCACTTTGCATGTCCTTTTGATATATTCCCAAATACAATATTAATATATATATTACTATTAAATATTTATAATATCTATTTACAAATACATATAAAAAAATAACATATATAACAACATGACTAGAGTTTACACTTCACAAATATTCTCATTCAATCGCATTCTTACAACTTTTTCATCAAACACATCTGTATCTTCCATGTCAAATTTATAATCAAGCATACATCTTTACAACACTCTTCCAATCACACTTGTTCGCTTTCTTTTGTAACATTATTAAAAAGAGTTTTTAAATTTCAATCTTAATAATTTTTTATCTGATGGATATAACAATTTAAACAAATCTTATATTGATGAATAAATATATCATTAAATATTTGCAATATTGGTTCCAACACTTTTTCCAGGCATACGTTAAAAAATCACTCAAACAAACATTTTTTTCAATGCTTATCCATATATTTCAAAACATTTTTCATCAAATTTTTATCTTCACATTTTTCCACACTCGCACATTTCCCCACTCGTATTCTACACTCGTCAAATGTTCATACCATTTATACTTTGTATGTACACAATTTGTTCTTTGGCCGCGCGTGTCGTTCGTAAAATATATGTTTTATATACAAAAAAAACATACATTCTCCTTTATATATGAATATGTTCTGCAACTATAGATCTAGATGTAAGTGCAAATGGTTATAAAATATACAAGTGCAATGTAATATGTGATAAAATATGTTACATCCCTTTCGTTTATCGATAAGTTCAGCTTCTGACGTAATTTCTAATAATGGATACATTAAATGTAACGGAAAACTGAAATTTTCGTTACACTTCAGTCAATGATTAAAACTAAACGTAAAACTAAACTAGAACCGTACTTTTAATAACGCATCGGCAAAATACTAAAATGTAACAGAAAATTGTAAGTTACGTACACTTCGGTCCTCGTATAATAGGAAAAGTAATTAAATCTGTAATTTGCATTACACTTAAATGTAACATAAAAATGTAAGATACATTACACCTCACGCCAGTCTTTCAACAAGAGACTACGCAAAACTGTAATTTACAGTTTAAGGTTAGTCCTGTTGTTAAAAGTACGGTTTTGTTCTATGATGACATGTCATATAAAAGTTTGTGTCTCCGTTACCGGTAAGATCATGTGTACTGTACAATGTACGGATGTAACATATTTAATGAACATTACATTTTGTTGTATACGTGCTTAAAATAACGGGTACATGTCCACCACCAGTGCTATAACTACGTACAATTTATAAGTAATACTCGTATATTTGTGCTTAAAGGTTAATATCTTTGTTTCAGTTACAAAACCCATCACCATCTATATAAAATATTTACAGAAAAAAATCTATGTGACGCCTCTTTATCATGTTAGTAAAGTAAAGTAAGTAAGTTTTTCTTTTATTGTAAAATGTTACATCTTAGATGATCCATTTGCATGAAATGCGTGTCTTCTATTTACTGCAAAGTCCCTGATCAAAAAAAGTTCCTGGAGATAAGAAACCCATTCTTCTTCTGGTAGTATACAAAGCAGGACCTTCTGGTTTTGTTACCTTTGGAACGCCGGTTCGCGCGCTGTTATTCATCAGTTCAGACTGCATCACGGATTTTATAACTTTATCTCATCAGATCTGATTTGAAACAGCTTCACAGTCACGAATCTAAAATTAAACAAGATAGACGAATGTATTGTTTAGTTACATGTATAACTTTATTATCAAAACATGTCTTAAGTATCTTTTATACATGAAAGTTAATTAAGGAACGGCGAGTCACGAGCCTGAACGGAAATGGACCGGCGTTTCATGCCGTTGTATTTCCGGAAACTTGATTTTGAGTTTTGAAAATGCTTCAGTTACTTAGCGGAATAACTCAATTTGATTAATATGTTTTCCATAATTTAATAAAATATTAATGTAATAAATTATTAATGCGCTCATTTTACTGTATTCATAATTAGAAAAAGTAACTCTTACCTTGGAAATATTATTTTTCTCCCATTCTCTTTCATTGCTTATTGTAAATATGGTAATTAAGTTAAAATCACATTCTTTGTTTTTAATATATGTTATTTCATTTGCTTATCATCCCACCCACCCCATTTTGATGGTACACGGGGTGGGGGAGTCACATCTTAACAGCTGGAGTATCCCAAATGAACTATTTTCTTTTAATATACTGTGCTCATATCACACACACACACACATATATACACAATTCAAAAAGGGGGCGTCTCCAAACCACGTGGTACTGACTGATACAGACTAACAATGACCTTTGAAAGCTGACCTTTAACCCTGGTAAGTACGATCACTTTAATTATACGTTGAAACAAGTATCTCATAAGAGTTAGATCATTAAACAACTAAGACGTTTAAGTGGAGGGCACTTCAGATAACAATATGTAAAGAGGATAATTGAATCTTGTACAAAATTTGAGATATCATCGCCAAAGGGATCATGGCTCTTTTATATCAAATTATACATGTATTTATCATTCTTTAACTATTTATAACATTAGTTTATATATACGATTTAATGAATGGGAAATGTGCAGTCAAACTAAGGACATCCTAAGGAAATACTTACATGGCCTTGAATCAAGTGGTCTGTGTTTAGAGGCTACTCCGTTCTATTTAATCAATGAAGGATGGGCGCAGAGTGACCTTTATTTAAATGGTGATCTTTATTCAGAGGTGGTCCTATACACAGGTGTGACTGGAACCAGGAAAATAAAATGTTTCATTGAATGATATAAAATAGTACGGCTTTATTGTGTACATCGAAAATTTCACAGTTCTTATATGATGTATATTATTTGTATTTCTACTCGTTGTGCTTAAAATGTAAACGTAGACTGATTTGAGAAAATTTCCGTTTTATTTTTAAATTATTAGAACGTTTAGGGAAAGAAGGCGCCATATTTTCATTTTCTTACATTTACACTTCGGTAGCAGACGAGTTTATTATATTATATGACTGCAGACCATAACCAGCGTTCCATCGTAAAATCGAATTGAGATTGTGAGATAGGAATTAAGATTTGAAACGATGTAAAACTTTATTCGATTATGCATATTTATGTAGAGTACATGCAGTCTTGCACAACCTGAGACAGAATGATAAAACTTGTACATGTATATTGTGTTTATTGCAACTTCAATTCATCTGTAAACTGGTACGTCTTTGCTCCGATTAATTAAATCAATTAAAGTATTCAAGATGTATATGAACTTCAGTCAGATTTCATGGCTGCTGGAATTAAGTATCCGGTCCTGATGGATGTCAAATGTAAAATGAATAAAATCTTCCTTTTGTAAGATTTCTGTCATACGAACTGAACGCTTTGGACAAAGGCTTATTTTGCAAAAAAATCAAGCTTTGGACTAAAACTCACTTTGACAAAACCAAGCTTTGGACAATTTTAGCTCACCATGTAAAAATCCAAGCTTTGGACAAAAGCTCACTTTGGTTAAAAGTTCATTTTTATCAAAAGCTCACTTTGGACAATGAACCATATCTGTTGCATCTACAATAATTATATGTTTTCAATGTGAGTGAATGCACACCAAAATACGTAACAAGGCAATATAAGGAAATGAATTCTAAAACATAATTTAACTATTGTTGATCGAATTTTTCAATACGAAATTCATACATGATTTGCGAGAGATATTATTTTGCAGCTGAGAGCTATCGTAGGTCAAACTGCGTCCATTCTTTCTTACTGTTATCTTTAGGTGATTGGCTGTTATATTTAAATCACCGCAAGATTGTTTTATCAAATTTATTTATCATTTCTTGTCGAGACCTATCCAATGTTATAAAGCTATTACATATGTAAATGGGGAGGTCCGAACCTTGTACTCAGGTGATATAAACGTTATCATTGACTATTAAACTTATTATCCCCATAGATTACAGATTAAGATAAGCGTGCTTGATTAAAATATCACGGTACAATACAATATGTAAATGTAACAATGACTAAATACATGTATCTCCCGCGCTCCATCACTAACAATAATAATTTGTCTTTTGGTCAATACCTTGAAAACCGAGTATTGGTGCTGTAACAGAAACAGGGTCGCCTCTGGACGGGGCAACTGCTACATCATGCACTATTGTGAATATAGCAACATTTTGGGGACTTCGCAACATATCGGCAACCAAACGTGACAGTAAATAAACAAACAAGAAATAACTTTTAATTAACAGAATTTCCGGTGTTGATTTGATGTAAAATTTGACTCAAATTGGAATCAAATAAACCCATTTTAGTTATAGTCAAATTAACTCTGTTATGGTCAGGCATGTGACATGTCAACTTTATATCTTAACTGGTCGAAGACATTTCCTCCCCTTCTAGGCCATACATCGAAATGTAACCAACAATCTAGCCAGCCCTTTTCCTCATAAAAGAATTCATCGTATCTAGTGGGATTAAAAGCGGCAATGGTTTGTGACCCGGGACTTAGTGCTTCACGTACTTTAACCTCCTAAACAGACCTGGGACTAAAATGTAACTAGACTAAATTGAATTAAATTAAATTAATCTAATTTAAGTGTATCTTTCTGTCACAGAATAGATGTAGAAAATTAAAACAAATACAGGACACCAAAGTTGATAAAAATCACAGTTGGCCATAAAACTGGGAAAACAACAAACTTTTCAATTAAAATTCATTAAGAATTGTATTCATGTTAATAAAGAAAAAACAATATATCTCAGATCTAACAAAAAAATAAATACATGCATATAAACAATATATGTAGCAAATGCATTACATCATATATGATAAACTTTACCTCATTAAAATCAGGATCTAAAAAGTTTTAAAAACGTTACATTTGAAATTCTTACATAGATCAACTGGGGAACTTTATAAAACGAAAAAATATGCAAAAGGTTCTAGTTTTATACTAAATAAATTGAAAATAATCTTTTTAATCAGATTCATAGTGGAGTTTAAGGTCCATCAGGTAAAGAAGCCTGCCTACAGATTCATGATAAATTTCATGAATTTTTTAGAATATATTTTGAATAGAAATATTGTCAAGTGAACAAAAAAAGTAATTTACACATTACAAAAGGCACTTGATTTTTTGGAAAATTACCAAAAGTAGGTAAAAACATGCAAAAGCAGCCTTTAATGTGTTGGTCACGCAGTGGAAATATGGTGATAAATACTGTAAAGTCAGTCATTCATTGCATATAACATGTAAATCATTACTTGAGTAGTGAATATTTTTACTTTTCTTTAAATCTTAGTACATTTTGAGTCAATTTGATTTTCTTAAAATATTTTTTGCTTATCTGGAGGCGTGCAGCTTTAATATGACATCTATTTTCTCATTTATCAAGTAAATTTTATAATTCATCAATAAATAATCATATCCAATATTTCATGCAAATACATGTACTTGAGCTTACACATTATAATAATATTTGCATAAACAATTTATTTTTAAAGCAGCTCAACTCCAGATTCTGGCTGTGAAATTATATTCATTTATTCTTTTTCAAATTAAGAAAAAAATAAACACAAAAAAACTTACAAAAAACATGTCGAAAGCTAAACAAAAGCATTTTTTTTTTATTGAACTGTTTATATATTATTCATATCTTATGAAAATTTAGCATATTAATCATTTTCCAGTGTAAAAAAAATGCACTCATTTAGGAAAGAGGGTTGGGAGGGGTATAGATTTGCCTGCATGTCTGACTGAAAAAGACAGTGGAATGTGGGGGCATTTTTAAGTAAGTTTTTAAAAAATTGTTAATATCTTAGTATATACGTATATTAACTGGAAGCTGGAGGCATGCTGCTTTAAAAATTGTATCAGAAAAATGTATAAAATATTTTAAAGGCCCATTATGCCTCAGAAATGCTATCATTTTTATTTCTCAAAACTTTTTTTTTATTTTTGGCATCTTGTTACAGTTTCCAAAAATACTCATTTGCTAATTTATCCATTATCAAAACATTAGTTAAACACATGTTTGATATTTCTGAATAATTAAAAAAATGGATTTCTGAGGCATAATGTACCTTTAACTCTATATAAATTTGATAAACTAAATAAAATATCTACTTGCCCTAATCTCTAATTCTAATACTGCAAAAAAAGCAATACAGAGTGTAAAATATAAACTATAAGTATAATTCTAGTAAAAGGTCAAAGGTGAAAAATATTATCTCTATTACATTGAATAAGTAAGTACATGTAGAATAAAATATAATATAAATAAATGTTAAAATAACTACAATGTACATGAATGTGTAGACAAAACATCAACAAATACTACCTACTTTAAAGTGACATTATGCCTATTTAACTGCAAAGGTAAAAGTCAAAATAACTAAAAATATATTTTGTCAAAATGTATTCAATTACATGTATATAATATGTTTTAATAAGCAAAATCAATAATCAATTTGACCAAATGGAAAATTCTATAAATATAAATGTCATTTGGAATGTATCAGTTTTTAAAAAGAGTTGGACAGTCTTTTTACATAGTTAGGAAGTTTTTTTTATATTTTATTCTAAACATTTTTCGTCAATCAATATTATTAATATAAACCTCATTTAACCCATGTTGACATAATGTCACTTTAAACACAGCTTAATTTTCAGTTCTGATAAAGGCATTATGTTGATAAGTATGAAAAAATTCTAAGCTTCTGGCAGACTATGAAAATAGTAGCAAGGGGAAAATGATTCAAATCCAAATTCAAATTCAGTAATTAACATTGCCAAAAAAAACCCCAAAAAACAAACATAAATAAATAAAAAAAATAGGCCTAATACCTACATGTACAGGTAATACATGTATACTTATAAAATTGAGTTATTGATATATTGATGAGATAAAATGCATATTTTCATTTTCCATATTTTCACTGTAAAATATCTACGAATCAAGTGCAATGATAACTACTTTTCCACATACATTCTAGCCTAAATAAATTAATGTACCATCAGATTACTATAAGTATTCAAATTACAACATATACATGATTGTCTTTACCAGACCTTCTCCAATGTTTTGATATCATCAAAATAATTAACAAATTCTGTTCAACAATCAATTAAATTTATTTATTTTTCTGGCTTTAATTTAACAAACCCCGCACTGTAATCATGTCATATGGCGACTTTTCAGCTTTATTTGTGGAGGAAGACCTCAGAAGATCTCAGGTGCCATGCAGTCAATCTGTCTAGGCTCTATACTGTTGGTAGCTTAATTTCATTTTTGTATTTTGATATTAAAAACCCCTAAAATTTTGAATGGACTGTTCAAAGCTGGGCAATTCCATTCTACATGTTTAAGGGGTTACTTATTATTAATAATTAATAATACATAGAAAAATACATGTATACATATATCACAGGCTTGTATCACATAAATATCACAAATATAAACATGGCTAGACTACGTCCTAAATATCACATGTACACCTTAAAGCAACATGCGTCCAGATTCATGCTAATTTTACATAAAATAATTTGAAAATATTTTAAAAGGAAAATATTGTGAAGTGATCAAAGAAAGTAATTTACACATTGCAAAAGGCACTTACAATCCACTTAAATTACCAAAACGAGGTCAACATATGCAAATATAACCCTTACTGCAATAGTCACGCAGTGGAACTATTGTGATAAATACTACAAAATCGGTCATTAATCGCACTTAACATGTAAATTATTGTTAGAATTTTGAATCTTTATACTTTTCCTAAAATCTTAGTACATTTTTCTCAGGTTTGATTTTATCGAAATATTTTTGCTCATCTGGAGACGTGCAGTTGATTTCCTCAATATATTTTGACTCATCTGGAGGCGTACAGCTTTAACAACCAGTACAATACAAGGTAAACAAATGCAAAAATGATGTGTCATAAATCAATTTACGTTCAGGTATTTCACAATCTAAATATATGAACCAGAGCTTACATAACTACCCAAACCTTTTACAAGAGCCCCTATGCCTAACTGTTATTTTTTTTTAATTACAATCTACTAGGAATCATAACACAAATGTTCTTCTAATTAAATACCATAGATCCCACCTAATAACAACTCATCTTTTTCAGAATATTTAACAAGTTTCCTCAAAAACCATAGCTAATTTTTCTGTATTGTTATTTCTTAACATTTTCTATAACAAAAACTAGAGAGTGTCATTGGCCAAAACAATAAGTTGCAAAGGCCAGTGTTTCTCTAATTCAATTTTAGTAACAAAGAAATAATAAATTATTCAAAATCGGCGTACCTAAGCATGTTTTACCACATACATAGTGACTTACTTTTTTAAAGCCCACAAATACCTCTCCACCCCTTCAGTAAAAGTAATAGTATAACAAAAAATCTCCCTAAAATACAATACAGAATAATAAAATTAGAAAAGCATAGACCAAAAGCAAGCCTTCATAAAAAAAACAACGAAAGATTATTGTTGAAAATACCATGAAAATAAATAGTTTGTAACAACAATAAAAAGGTAACGTTCCTACACGAGAAGAGGTAATGGATAAATAAGCATTAATGAACACGATATAACTGTAAAATAAAAGCACTAAAATACGTGCCTGTACTTAACACAACCAAAATAGGTCATCTGTACTGCCAGACGGACAGTGTGCTTGATTATTCTCAGTGCTTGATAGTAATATCAAAGTTGGGACAATGCACAGAGTTTGAAAGGGACATAATTCGAAGAAAATCAATTGTTAGAGTTATGGGCCATAGAAAGTGACCTACAATTATTATCACACAGATGAGTGTAAAGTTTTGAGCTTAAACTTTCTGTAAGAATTAATATGATGTTAAATCTTATGCAAGTGTTATGCCAACGTCAGGGTGTTGAGGACATGGCTGTTAAATCTTTAGCTCAAAATAAAATATATACATGTATAAAATATATACATGTAATCAGATCTTGTTGGCAAATAAGAAATACAGGAATATTTTTCAAGATGTGCAACCATTTATAAAATTATTAATAACGACAACTGCAAATGGGTTTTTATAACCTTTTATGTCTTGTTCTGAAAAGATCTTTGAACGAAATAAAATATGTGTGACGTATGTAATAGTGTGGCACAAAGGGATTTTGCTAATAATTTAAAGATAACACGTCCTCCAATACTCAAGATACTGAATCGGACACCGTCTTTAATAATTCTTCCTTCGGCATGGATTTTACGTCCTCCATCAACGATTTCCGGAGCTGTTCGATCTCTGCTGAATCTTCCGGTAAAATCACAGTCGGACGCACACTGTCATTTTCTGCAGATTTGAGATGTTCAGTCTCTCCGGCACTTAATGCAGCCGATTCAGTCTCTGTTTTAGTGATCGGTGCACTTCCTGGACGAACTTTCGGCTGTCGTTGCTTGTCTTCGATCTCCTTCAAACCGGGGGTAAGGCTTACTTCAGCTTTATGTTTAGACTGCAACATTTTCTAAAACAAAAATACATCATGTTGTTTTCATTTTTATTGTTTATAAAAATGAAACACCTAGAGGATTTCAATTAGTGTAAATTTTATCAATACGATAAGATATGAAACCAAAAAGAATATTTATTATTTAACACAGTTACTTTAATACATATGGGTACACTTATGGAAACATATGTTTACTGTATAAATATAAGTGTTGGCAAAGGTTTAAATTTCACTTATTTCTCAATCATAAATTTAAGATTGTTGCAAAAATAAATGTTCACCAAGTACAGGGTCATTCATAATATCTGATATACTTTTTAAATATAATAGCGTTAATATCATCAAACATAGGTGTACAATATTCACATTTCTTTTGAAACCATATCAGATATTATAGCATAAAATCGGCTATTTTTCCCTTTTTTGCCCATGTTATAATGGGACCAAAACCATGTGTTAACATAGTCACGGGCTATTGTTATAGCCCAGTTTTACATATGCGCAATACATACAGGGCCCAGTAAACAAACAAAAAAATGACAATTTGGCCTTGTTTGCCAAAGAGACATGCGCTTTTCTTATATTGAAATAATTGATTCGAGGGCATCAATCGCATAAGTAACAGCGAGCAGCATTCAAGTAACTATGACGGAAATACGGCGTATAGACATCACCGCTAATCTTAGTTGTCGCCCTTTCTAAGAAACGGACCGTTGTCAATGTAAACAAACCCTCCGAGTAACTTACAAAACAAGATAACACAAAATGAATATGAGAAAATGTTGTTTTATTGATGTTTATATTGATAATTGTTCTTTATATTTCTTTGAGAGAAAAATGTTTAGTGCCTGATTTTTTTTATAAACTTGTGTGCTTGAAAAAAAACTGATTCTGATCAGACTGATGTCACGTACTGTTCTTTTTTCTACCGTCAATCAGAAATAATTCTAGGAATTTCTGACGGTCATGTTTTGTCTTGTGTAGAGTGATTCAATGTGTATTTTTTCTTAAGTTAATAAATTCCCAATGTTAAGCTTTGTTAAATCAATTAAAATTCGAAATTTCGTTCGATTCTGGGCATTTGTATTTCCAAAGATGTTGGCCCCGGAAAAATAAAACGCATATGTAAAACATGTAGAATTGGATAAATACCGTCCAAGCACAAGGATTTAATGTATGTGTTTTGTATTTAATCGACATCATGAATCTGTTTTAAAATTTTATGCTATAATAGCATCAACGCACGTTTATTTCGTGTTATAAAGTCTGCAGAGTCCCTCAGAACTGTTGGAGCCCTCGCCCTACTGGGCTCGGGCACCAACCGTTCCTCGGGACTCTGCAGACGTTATAACACGGAAAAACGTGCGTTAATAAAAAAACCCTATATTATGAATCATCCTGTATTCATATTGATTTAATAAAATTAAAAGTCGAAATTCCAAATTTTATCGTCACCAATAAGTCTGAAAAGTTAATTTCATGAAATTTTGCCCTTGTGAAAATATCAGACTTTACAATACAAGGTTTTAAAATACAGAGTGGTAACTTCATGACCTAAGAACATAATTAAGAAAAGAATGAACCCTTGATTAACCAACTTTAGATAAAAATACAAAATGTAACTGAGTCACACTGAAGTCTAATCACATGACATAAGATCATATTTCAGGGTCATGTGATTTAGCATGAATATACTTGAAGTATTATTATGTTAAAGCCCACTTGACTTTTTTTTAATTTCCTTAACTTTATGTTCTATTCTATTTTTATAAAATCATTGAAGCAGAAACAATTTTTTGAATGGAATGTTTTCCCAAATATTAAATGAAAAAATTCATTTTTTCCTCTCATTTTTACATATCTGTCCTGAACAAGGGGAAGAAAACGAAATTATAATTCATTATAAATTATCTTTTCACTTCTGTAACTTTCTAGTGTATGTACTTTGCACAATTTCAAAAAAAGTCTATTATGAAATCCCTTTCTAAAGTGAAGTTTAGAAACCTAGAGTGACATTTGAACATATAACGTGATACACGTACATGCATGGTTTCTTTGGCTGTCATAACGCGTTCCTGACGATCTCTCTCGAACAAAACTTTCTCTTCATAAAGCTCACCACATTTGCTTACATACAAGCGTCTAAAATAAAGAAAAAACATTTAAACATATCTATATTTGTGCCTACATGCTTTTGTAGTTTATTTCTATCAATATCATTATAAGGGAAAAGAAATTTACACAACACATTTTTGGACTTTGCTCGGCAATGATGTCACATGCCACAGAAGCTCAGGTATGGCGAATATACATATGAAACAAATTATGCAGTTGGTAATTGAGGTTTATTTAAAGTACCTAAAATTCAACAAATGTGAAACAAGAAATTTAAGAAAACACAATTTACAGCAAGTGTTTGTCATTCATAAAAAAATCTGCCTAATTTGTTTTCCTAAAAAACAAGAGCTGTCAGTAAGACAGCCCGCTTAACTATTCTACATGCTTGGCAGTAAAAAAGGGTTATAACTCTGTAAAAAGTTGAAACAGAATTATAGGACCTGCGCCCATCATGTAAGATAATCACACACAAAAAGTGTGTGAAGTTTCAACCAATTCCCTACAGTAGTTTGGGAGAGATCAAATTGCACATAAAAACTTAAAACCAAAATGTTACAGTGACGCTGACAAGGGGATGAGTACAATTGCTCTCTCTCTCTACTCTTTGAATAGTCGAGCTAAATAAAACCAATTATCAATATCATGATAGAGCTGTGCCAGCTGCTATAAAACAAGTGAAAACTTACTTTATTAAAAAAACTTGCCCCTCTCAGCAACTTTGAGGGCTAAGGAGACTTTGCATTCTTTCATGTGAGGAAGCTATCCAGCTAGCTTACAGAATGTCGGTGGCTCTACTCAGGTGCCTGTTTGTGCATAAAATAATGCACAGAAGGGGCACCTGAGGTCTTCCTCCACCAGTAAAGCTGGAAAGTTACCATATGACCTATACTGTGTTGGTGCGATGTAAAACCCAACCAAAAACAATAAAACTTACTTTAACTCTGTGTTCTGAGTCATCAGCTCATCTATTTTTGCCTTGTATTTTTCATCTACTTCTTGAACTTTCTGATCAAACTGTTCCTCAAATGCAAACAACCGAACTTTCTGTAAGAAGAAGGAATAAAAATATTTATTTATCTTTGTGTTGGTCCCTGTTTTCCATTGATATCAAGCATGTTTAGGGGGACTTAGATATAGCAACGTTACTAATGTCAAATGACCGTTTCCTAGGTGTCATAACTAGTAATTACATGAGCGTGAATTGAAGAAGTCTGCAAAGAATCTCTCCTGTTGAGGGAAGATCACCATTTTTTTTTTATAGAGTTATTTTTTTTTTAAATAAATTTTTATGTACATAATTCATTAATTTTGGTTAAGGCTACACTGATACTTTACTGATGGCTCTGTTAGTTTTCTTAACCAGACCAACACTGCCTAACTTGCATAATAGACTAGCGCAGCTATGAATCTAAGTGCCAACTGTCATCTTAATGGTTTCAATCTAGTTTTTTGTAGCCAACATTATAATTTCTAGTCAGTCATAAAGGATCCAAAGACTTAACAAGGATATAGTTATACAAAATGTATATCTAATTGGTGTTAATTCTGAAAGCTTAAATACAAACCGTATCTGTGAGCGTAGTTGTAATTTTGGCTAGTTGTTGACATGTCTCATTGTATCTCTCTGTCACGATGGCTAACTCCACCTTTGTTTCCTGTAATATATATAGAACATACTAGTATCTAACTCCGCCTTCATTTCCCATTATATATAGAATACATAGCTAACTCCGTCTTTATTTTCTGTAATGTATAAAGAACATAGCTAACTTACTCTACCCTTGGTATTAGTTTAACATTATTTTATTACAGCTTGACTGTGACAAATATTATGGGCTTAATTAAAATACTCTCAGGTCAGCTTTGCCAAACTGACCAGTATTGGTGCTACATTTTATATCAAAATCCATCGACATTACCCCAGTATGGTTCGAACCACAAACTCCTCGGGTGTAAGACACCTTAACCACTTAACCCTGCTCTCCCCTAAAATCTGAGCCAATCAAGGACAGTCTAACCTACCTCTAGTTCTGCTGTACATTTCTGTAACCTTTCTAAATCTGCTGCTACATTGGAGAACTTTCTTATTAAACTCTGAAAACAAAAATAAGAAGATAAGAATCTGAATAAATAACTCTCACCTATAAAGAACATTAACATCAAGCTTTGACAAAATAACTTTGCAAACTAAATGTGCATAAAAGATTGTACTTGTGGATGGTACTTTGGCATATTGATTCTATTTTTCATTCTGATTTATTTTTATTTACAAAGTGCAAATTGAAAAAGAAATCAACAAAAAACTTTCTCACTTAAAAATACCTGAAATGCTATATGAAATGCAATAACTGACTTTTTAAGATAGTGTTGTGCCTAAGGTATCATTAACTATTAAATATCAATAAAAAAAAATTTGAATGTATTGTAAAACATATTCTTCCTACTTAAATTAAACCCTCTCGAGTTTGGTTCCTGTAACTAACCAGAAACTGAATCTTTCAAAACAAAAAACAACATGGTTATGAAACAAGCAGAGCTTAACCCATGATAGCTAGGTTGAAAAAAAAAAAGACACTTAATCTATTAGGTCAACACTATCCATAACATAATATTCTTGCATTAAAACTGCGTGATACTATGCAAATGTATATTTACGGAAAAGAAATCACCCAATAACAAATCATAGGAGCATGCATTGTTTTTGCATTTTTTTTTCTTCAATACTAGTATGCCCGATTTAGGATGCCATGTAAACGTAGCTGATTGCAATGACTTCAGTAATTTCATTATCAAAATAAAAATGTCAAACAACATCACACATGCACATGAAAACCATGATGAATTAGGTTTTTTTTACTAAAAACAAATAACGAGATGCTGAATTAACCGAATCACACATATATTAAAATTCATGCAAGAATAGCACTACTGCACCTTTTTTCATGCACTAACGTTCTGTAGAATTAAAGCCCTGTAACTTTTTATTAAATTCCTTCGCCCTTCAGGCTTACTAATGCACGTTTTTATGCACTAACACATGCAGAAGCCCGCTAACTTTATCTAAGTCCTTGCCCTACAGGCCTGGGCATATAATGCTTCATCATACTTCAGCAGCTAGGTGTCAATGCAAGAAAAAAGGTGCAATAACCCTCTTTCAATAAGTAAAAAAACATTTTTTTTCCATATTCACATAAATATAATTGTAACCAGTTCGTCTTCAAGGTTAGGGAATTATCAAGCTATATGTGAGTTGTTGAGCACTTGACATGTTTCCTGAATTATTTGGTACATTATTAAATAAATGAAAAAGGGGGGTTTCAATAAAGAATTCAAGGGCTTTTTTTTCTGAAAAAGGGTCCAATTGACATAGACATACATTCAAGATGGTTTGTATACAAGACTCAGTGAAATTATAAGGAAATATTAACATACATAGAGTTAAGGAAAATGAAAAGTATATTATCACATCTAAAAATAAAAATAAAAACTGTTATATCAAACTAAAATGAAAAACAAAGCAAAATTTATAAAATGAAAGCAGCAGATTTGTATAATAATTGATTTGTTGGTCATGGATTCTTCGACTTTTCTTTGACCATGACCATATGGCCATAGGCACAAGCATAGTAGAACAACCGACATTCAATAAGCTAGCTGCAAAGGAAGATTCCAACCTCCCTGAACAGATTCGAACCTTTAGTGCAGAAAGGCCAGAAAGGCAAGTGATTTAAATGCAGCATCTGTCACTGATGGACTGCAATCATTTGTAAAAGATCTAGATTTCTATAAAAAACAACTCTTTTTTTTCTATTAAAAAAAAATCAAAATTAATATCTTTATATCTGGTCTTAATCCACTATAGGTAAATATTATTCTAAGCAGAAACAAGATGTTTTCATACAACACAAAATTAATACTCTCGTTTATTATCTGTTAGTAAGTAAGTCTTGAAATATGAAAAACTGAACTCAAAGGTCAGTCATTTAAGGGTCAAGGTCATATTTTAATATACATGTATAAAAATGAAAGTATTGTCAGGATAAATAACGCTGTGTAAAAGTGTTACGGTATATAAGTGTTTACTAATTGTAGGTCGTCCATTTGATGACAAGTGTCACAGGGTGTCAAATATGTGGTGGCTAACCTGGACTTGGGGACTCCCAAAATAGTGTAACGCAACTCACAGTACCAAGTAAGCTACCCAGGCGGGTTACACAATTTAACAGTTTTACACCATGACTGGAGAAGGCTTGGTAGAATTAAGATGTAATGGCCGAGGTTAAAGTTGTCAATAGACAAACGGACAGAACAAAAATAATATGCGTTGCTAACTATCAATTTGCGGGGGGCATTAAAATTTTCTTTTCGAGGCTAAATAAGCAATTAGGTAAGCTAAAACTGAATAAATTATCATCTACATAGTAAAATAAGTACAATGTATTAGATGTCGCTAATAAATGGATGTGATAAGTAGATAAAAGCAGTGCAAAAAAATACAGTATTTATAGATCTACATGTACATTTTAATACTCCTCTATAATAAAAGTAAATAAAATATTAAATGTTAGATAAATGTTATAACAGTGACTTTATCACAGAATATCTTACTTTCTCCAATTCCTGTCGCACAGAAAAGTATCAAACAAAAAATTAACAATACATAACAAAAGCTATCATACAAGAAGAGAGAATTAAAGGGAGGTAAGAACAAGCAAATTTCATATACATATCCCGACAATCATAATTGTAACTACCGTATACTCTCCAATATGCTCCTAAATTAGGGGAAGGTCGTATATTAGTGAATATACGGTATGCCCCTAAATATATTTCTCATCTCTTGCGCTTAAATAGACACTATACATTTAATTTGAAATGAATATAAAAAAAGATTTATCACACAAACCACAGCAAAGGGGTATGATAAAGCCATTTAATAAAAACGATATTACATTAGTGAAATAACTTGATGTGACGTCATTTATGTAATGTACAAACACAGCGTAAAAAAAACTGCTAATTCTTGCTTACACTATAGATGACTCTTTTTAACTATAAACCAGTTGTATTTCTGATATGTGCTAAATAGAATATTATACTTGTATTTATGTAGATTCAATACTTAATATATTGAGGCTCTCATAATATGATTTTATTCAACTCAGTATTAAGTCTGCACTCTTTTAAATATCCTCTTTTTACTGCTCATTTACTTTTTGTAAACCATCTTTCCTTTTGTTTACTTTATTTCACTTTTGCCTTTATTTTAAGTTAACCTTCATGTAATTTAAAAAATAATAAAACTATGTGATCTTACATCCATTTCTCTTTTATTTTCTTTGCGTATTGCATCAATTGCCCTATGTTGATCTTTACTCCATTGACTTTTCTCTAATGCTTTCTCTTGCATGAACTTTTGTTCTGAAATAGTAAAATGAGTCATATAACAAGATCTAAATATATAGATATAATGGCACTAAAAATATAGACATAATGGCACTTTTATTGATACAATAATATATATGATTAATATTGTCATATTATGTCATGTGAGCTGATTTTATGTTTATTTTTTTTTACACTTGCTTAAAATTTAGTTACAACTAAGGGAGGTAATTTTGTCAATTAAGCAAAATACCACATGTTCAAATGTAAGTTGTTTCCCTTGAATGCAAATATAGAGATATTTCCATAAAATTTCAACAAACAGTTTTCGGTACTTTGACGAGTTATATATAATTTTTTATGCAAATTATTATTAACATTATACAACATTTGGAAAAACTAAGTATCCATGGCTGAAAGTTTAAGGTTACAATGCTAGCAATAAATCATGTAATTCTTCTATTTTAAATCTCACAAGATAAATCAAATAATTTAATGCGAGGAATTTATCTAGCTATATTAATTAAAATTATTTCTGGATTATCTTCTGCCTGAAACAATGCACAAATGCACCAAGGCTGTTCTTGCATTATATGGTTGATCAGATTTTACACCAATTGTAAGACATTTTTAATCATATATTGGCAGTCCATCCTCCTAAAGGACTTTCTTAGCAGGACTTTCCAATAATAACCAATTTCTCAGCAAGTGACCGAAAACTAATCAAACATGCCTTCTGAATAAGGGATAAGATGTCAATGACCATTAGGCTCAATATCCGAGATTAATTGTCAAGAGCAGATTTTGTCTTGCCCCAAGGATCGAACCCCTGCGACACCTTTTTTTCAAATCAGATACTCTCCCTATTGAACTTAGTAGTTGGTCATTTAATGACCTGATCAGTGAGAAAAATGTGCAGCCTGACCAGGACTCGAACCCGGGACCCTCGGAATACTGTACTGCGGCTCTACTGACTGAGCTATCCTGCCTCTTACACACTATCTCCCCTAATTAGTGAACAGTTCTGAACCGTGATATCAGTAACAATTAGATTTAAAACAAAACCAATAAAAGACATGCTTACTCATTTCCTGTAATTCTTTATTTTTCTGCGTTTCGAGATCGTTTTTCAGATCTTCTTCTTTCCGTTTCCATTTTTCCTCCGTTTCCTGATGTAGGGACGACTTATAGGACTCAAATGCTCCCTGCAGAAACTCAATCTCCTTTTTCATACGCGCTGAAAAAAATCAAAACAACAATACATAAATATCACATAAAAAAGATGGATTTTTTTGTCCAAAAAAATCAAAATCATGAAATTCAAAGAATAATGAGATATTTTCTAATAATTTCATGGACATTTCATCTTAAAATTCAAGTACTTAAGTTCTATACCACACATCTACATATATTACCATGAACAAAAAAGGTCTGAATATATTTGCAATACACATTATTGTGTTGACTCAGTTATAAGACTTTATTTTTTGGCTTAATTTCATATACTGAATCATATATCTAGACTTATAAGCGGACCATAAATTCCAACTGAATAAAGTGATGCATGAAATCTTTGTGAATCACAATACCCTTACTTTATAATAAGACATTTTTTTTTTGCATAAATATATCAAATGTTGTCCCAAAATGTGCAATAGTGTGTCTAATTAGTGGATCATAACTTTACATGGAACATAATCTAAATACACAAAATTTAATTACAGAACTATTTCCCTTCAGTTTCTATGCTCTCATATGCACCTAATCTGATAAACAGAATCATAAATGCCCATAGAAAATTTATATTAGTTTAACCTACAAAATGAACTGAGAGTAAAGAACATGTTTACAACACATAGCCAGGTCTGAGTATTAAGTAACTCCCCCTCCAGACCCCTCTACAAGCAAGAAAAACAATTATATGAATAAAATCATTTAAAACATAATAAATATCATTAAAATATCACAGATCAATAAATTTTTTTTGAATATATAATATAGTATGTTTTTATTGATCTGTGTTATCAGATATGTTTAATTATGTTTAAGAGGAGTTGGGTACTTGTTACCAACCTGGCTATGCATAATACACCTGCGGATAAAAACAAAGAGTATACCAATTTGAGCTTCAGCATTAGTCTTATAGTTGGTATGTTCTGTTTCCATGGATTTCTTCAACTTTTGTAACTCATCCTCACCTTCCCTTTCTTTATCTCTGTAATTAAGTACCATTCTAAGTGCAGATTTTCACAAATCATGCAGCATTTTAGTAACAGATAAACTGAATCAATTTTAAATTGTTTGGTATAATTATCAGGGGCTTGTCATATAAAAATGCAACCGCCAGTTAGAAAGTAATTGTGTAGGCTGGCCTAATTTTAATACATGTACTGGTGGTATGAACTTATTTTAGTTTGATTGTGTAGGAAGCTATAAGTTTATATAAACACATTCCCAAATCCGATCCTGGAACCAGCCAGTATTGAGTAATAAGACTATAGTTTAATGCTCAAGGAAACAGTGGCTAACCCCAAATTGGGTTTAAACCCATGGTGATAGCCATGATGTGTTAACCACTCAGCCATGATGCCACTGCTAAGAACTTGACAATAACACCATAATTTGTTTTGCAATTTTTATATCACTTAATAATTAAAATGCTGATATTTCAAGATTTCCCAGTTTATGTTTATTGATTGCCTTTGAAAACTAAACCATTTAAGTCTTAGCCTGCTGGCAGCAACTGTGTCTACCCATGTGACCAGCCCAGACCAATATCATGTGGCACATCTGTGATGTTTGATTATGGTCTGCACTGTTTTTTCTATTCAGTTTGCCCTACAAAGGATGAATGGTTTTGTCCTGATTGAAAGATGGGCAAGCCCATTTAAGATAATTAGAGGGGTAAGGGTTAAACATATTATCAACTTACGCTAAAGCATTTCTTCTGGCATTTTCCAACTCCTCGATTTTGTCCTTAAGAAATTCATCTGCCTGAAAGAAAGAAAATTAATGAACATCTCAGGTATAAAGTAAAAGAAAGAAAAGTTTTACACAAAATGTTTCCAACTATATCTTTACTAAACTTGAAGGGTTATAATGGACAGTGTATAATTATATTGTACACTTTGAATTTCATAGTCACAGTCAACACTTACTAAATAATCACCATCATCATCAACATATGCCGGATAAAACAACAAGTAGGACATTACAATCTATCTCATAATGACATTTTAACTTCATCCTTTTTCAAAATAAACTTGCTAATTGAGATCCTAACATGAAAAATTTCAAATGTTTCTTGGAGTTACAGGTAATTAACAAAAATTGTGGACCAGTGGATTGAAGTTAACAATTCTATTAAGATATTTAGACCTTACCTTGAGCTTTGTCTGTTTATGGTTGAGCCTTTCCTCCTCTAGATACAAGGTAAGATCTGATATCCTTTCTTGAAGCTGTGATATTAGGTTATCCCTGAAAATCAATCAGATCTTAAATAAAATGTGATATCAAATTGTCTTTGAAAATCCACCAGACTTAGAGTGGTATCAAAATATTGAAATTAACCTTTACCCTTTGCTACAAGTATAGAGCCATGTCAACCTTCAAGAACGTGCAGTCTGACAAATGAGCCGCGCCATGACAAAACCAACATAATGGGTTTGCGACTAGCATGGATCCAGACCAGCCTGAGCAGTCTGATCAGGATCCATGCTGTTTGCTTACAAACCCTATAACAAGAAGAGAAACTGAGAGCGAACAACATGGATCCTGATCAGACTGAGCGGATGCGCAGGCTGGTCTGGATCCATGCTGGTTGCAAACCTATTATGTTTGTTTTGTCGTGACGTGGCTCAAATGCTCTATAGACTGCCTATCTATATGGCTGCCTTATCTCTTTTTATCTTGATATCTCAAAAATTGATAATGGACAGTTCCAAAATGGAAGCCAAACAAGTTCATTTTAAAAGATCAGCAGGTTAAACTTTAAGCAACCACCAATAAAGAGTCTGGTCAGATATATAGATGTATAAGCTGGCCTGGCTCTATACTGGTGTCATAAATCTGATATAGTGTTATCTGAAAATACAAAATTAACTTATAGAAATTAAACAGCTAAGTGTAATTTTCACACCTTC